GCAGGCACGCCGCAAAGGCGATCAGCGGCACGCAGAGGCAGATGCCCGTGATGCAGAGGAGGCGCTGGATGTGCTGGTACGAGGCGATAATCTCGGTGCGCACGGGGGTGCCAACGGGGTACTCGGCAAGCACGGTGAAGGGGTCGGCGTAGATGGTCTGCGCGAGCGTCTCGTTGCCGAACTGGGCCAACCTCTTGTTCAGCTCAGAGGGCAGCAGCTGGGTCCAGAAGGAGCCGGACACGGTGTTGCCAAAGGCGGAACCAATGTTATAGGTTGCGAGGTAGAGGCCCGTCATGACGGCGAGGTTCTCGTGGTCCAGAGCCGTCTGCAGCGAGGCCTGTGCCGGATAGGGGAACATGCCGCCGGCGATGCCGAGGAGGACCTGGGCGCCGATGACGCCAGACGACTGCGCGTCCGAGGGCGAGCCGCGGAAGTGGATGAGGAGGCCAAAGGCGACGAGGAAGAGCACGGTGCCGGCGACGATGAAGACTTTGAGGCGGCGGACCTTGAAGACGATGAAGCCGAGGATGAAACCGGTGATGACCGAGACGAAGGAATAGAGCGACGTGATGCGCGTCGCAGCCGTGATGGACATGTCAAAGGCGACAATCAGCACGGTATACAGGTAGTTGCCCTGCATGTACCAGGCAAAGTTGAGGAACAGGGCGATTCCGAGGGCGCCCCAGACGCCGCGGTCGCGCATCAGGCGGAAGGGGACCAGAGGGTGCGGGGTGCGCATCTGCCACACGACGAAGGCGGGGATGCAGAGGACGCCGATGACGAGAGGCGCGATGACCTTGGCCTGGGTCCACTGCGACTCGAAGCCGCCGGCAATGGTCAGCGGCACGAGGATCAGGGCGAAGACGGCGATCAGCAGGATGATGCCGATGACGTCGAGGCGCCAGAAGAGGTCGACCATGCCGGCCTTGAAGCCGAGGATCTGGAACGACGTCTTGTACTGGTCGAGAAGGCCCATGCGGCGGGCGCGACGACCGACGATGGTGAGCGAGATGATGAGGGGCACGGCGCAAAAGGGGTAAATGATGCACCACATGCCGATGCCCCAGCGCCAGCTCAGGCTGCCGAGAAGGACGGGCTCCGAAATGTCGCCGCTGACCCACGTGTTGATGATGAAGGGGGTCGCGGGGATGTAGCTGAAGAGAAGACGCGAGCGGGTCGAGGTGATGTCGGCAATGATGACCATGACGAGCAGCATGATCATGGTGTAGCCAATCTGGTAAATGACGGCGCCGGCCGCGAACGTCTCGACGTTGTTGGACACTGTCTCGACAATGGTGCCGACGACGTAGAACAAGACAGACAGGCAGACGAGCTCGACACGACCGAAGACGTCGGCAATCTTGGCGGCCGTGGGCTGGGCCGCAGCGGCGATGACGGAGCGCAGGACGTTGACGGTGGCGAGCAGAGAGTGCGTGCGGAAAGAGGCGGTCGCGAAAGGCTGGTAGGCGTAACGAAGGGTGCCGTCGAGGCCGTAGGCGTAGGCGACGAGGAAGACGCCGAAGAAGATGAAGAGACGGTCGGTGCGGGTCATGACGCTGGAGATGGCCTCCATGCGGGCGACACCGTATGACTTCTCATCGAGGCTTTTGGGGGGCTCGACACCACCGGGGCCGGAAGCCAGGACGTTGTTGTCAAAGGGGGGCTGGGCGTGGATGTTGCCCTTCTCGTCGGCCTCGTGGGAGCCCGAGTTCGAGTTGGAGCGCGCGGGCGACGCAGGCGCCGCGGGCATCGCTTTGTCGGCCATGGCGATGATGCTGTAGTGGGAATTAGCAAGTGGGAAGAGCTGAGGAGACGAAGAACGTTGGACAGAGACTTGGACGACGCCAACTGTAGGCTGCCGTCGTCTATCATGGTGCGAGGGGCATGGGCAGCAAGGTTTGGCGGGGCAGAGGGCCTTGGTTGGGGATGGGACATGGCGGCGGCCAGTGGCGCCAAGAGAAGGGCGACCAGAGGCGCCAGGAGGAGAAGGGCGACATACCGAGGAAGATCGACTGCAGGTGAAGGCGAATCGAGAGATCGAGTCACAGCAAACAGCGAGCAATGCTAGATGCTCTGTCAGATGCTCTGCCAGATGCTCTATCAGAAAAAGGGCACACACACCAAGAGAAAGGAGGAGAGAAGGGACGATCCTCAGACGGGGTTCGCATGCGACTTATGTACGTGGAACGGAACGCCAGGAAGGAAAGAGTCCTGGGGGCCTTCCAGGTTGCTGGGTGCTGCTTCCCGCTTCGGTGCAGAAGCTTGCCTCAGAAGCTCCTCCTCCCCCCCACCGGTTATCCTTTCCTCCTGGAGATGGAGGAGAAGTTTCTTGGGACAGAACGACCCGGACGAGGCGACGGCCAAGGATGCGCTAACGTCCCCGATGTGTCCCTGCTTCGCCATCTGGTGGGGCGCTCTTGACAGTCTTTGAATGCCTCTGATCAGGCACCGTCACTTGCAGCGAAAGGTCAGAGTCAAGGTACGTCGCTCCAGATCTCATCCCTCTTGTTGCAGTGCTTTCTCTACGTCTCGCCTACCTTCAACCACAGTCCATCTCATCGCTTCCAGCCCTGTGAATGAATCATTGCCTGCCCAGGTGCCTCGCCGTGCTGCTCTGCAGATTTCCTCTGTCGGCCCAGATCCTGTCACAGTTTTCCCAAGCCAATGGGTGCTCGGTATGAGCTCGGTGTCTCCACGCCACCCCTGTCAGTGGCTTGATCTCTCTCCATCTGATAAGATGGAGCGGGGCCGCCGAACCCTAGCAGCCGTGATCGGATGGTGCTCGCCACTGAGACTCGCTCCTCGCTCTTGCCTGCTTGCCTGCTAGGCCGCTCCCCACCAACGCCCAAAAGCCCCTGCCGTCAGTGGCGCGTCCACCCACAGCAGCCACTCTGCCCTGCCAGTGGATGTGCCGGCAGTGGTGCTGCAGCCTTTGGCTGAATGGCGCCTGCCTTCAGTGAGATACCTGCCCTCAGTGAGATGCACGGTACCTGCCCCCAGCAGGTAGGATACCTACCACGGTGGGCGAGGCTTTCAGGCCTCGCCATTCGATTCTCTCCAGGGCATCAGAAGCTTCAGGTTCGGCGGCTACACCTCTACGGCAACCCAGGAAATACTTGACATCGACAACTGTGATCCATACTCTCGACATTTGGGCCACTGCCATCCCGGTCTGCTTGATCGTGCAGTCTCGACAGAGCCCGTCAATTTTCGTATTCCTAGACCCGGGCTTTGGTCGCTCCGGTTCGCCGACATACGAGGCACTAGCAAATCCGTCTGCAACGAGCCTTGTTGCCATGACGGTACGTAAGCTTCGAGCGCACTTCGAGAAGCTAGGCGTGGAAATAGCGGGACAAAGAGATTTCTGCAGATTTTTTTTTATCAGATCAACATCGACTTCGTTCGGGCCTTGGCACATTCTTCCTGGCCGTCCCCCTTGGCCTCAGCGTCTTTCCCTATGGACGACTAGCGACCCGCCCGCGCAAACTTTCCCATGAGCTGCCTCTTGGCTCTGGGATTCTGGGATACTCGTCTCGCTCACCCGCCGCCAGCCTTTTCCCCCCGGTCACTGTCCAGCTCTGCCTCGGCCACATCCAAAGACAGGATCCGATGGCGTCTGCACGCCAACATGACAAGGACCACCGCGCGGCAACCACACCTGCAGCCATGACACCCATCGAGCTTGGTGTTCCACACATTCGGCGCTGGTGACATCTCGCCTGACCCTCTTGTCACCCCCACCAGGGAGCAAGACCCCTAGAAGCCCATCGGTCCCATCACGAACCCGCCGTTTGCGACCCAGACCCGACCCAGAACCACGCGACAGAGGATCCTCTTTGCAAACAGATCGCCCTCCTTTTCTTCATTGGACAGTCTCATCACCGCTATGTGGGACATGTTGTCGATTGCCCACATTCCGTCAATCTCCGTCGATGACCCCTGCACCCCGTCCTCGCTTCGAGATGCCTTCGGCGAAGCCTCGTCGTCGGAGAATCTCCCCGACACCGAGGGCCAATCTCTTTCTCTCTTTGACAGATGATGTTGATCCAGTCTGCCGGTGCCAATCATCCGACGCCGTCGAAAAAATTGTCCGCACAACCCGTGGACGTCCCAGCCTTATTACCATGGACTCTCTCCCTTCATCCCAGAGCCTAGTGCCAAGCACGAACCGTCTCTGTGTCGCCAGGCCTTGACGGCGGCAGATGTCGACTCGGTAAAGTCCGGCGCCCGTCGCATGCAACGTTGCCAGCCCGGGCTAGTAGCGTAGACCCGGCTCCCTGATCAGCTCCTGGATGGCTATTGGATGAGCTGGATCAGGCCGCTCCGTGATCCCCAACTCAAGTCTTGAGCCATCGCCCCCGACTAGACTCTAGATGAAGAGCGCCTGAGTCGAGACGACATGTATCAAAGACCGTCATCCGCCGCATCAGTCATGTTCAGATCGCAAGTGCACTCATATCGTCAAAGTTCCGCCCTGAGCCTGATGTGGTAGAAGAGATTTCTCTCGAGAAATTGGTCGCGTCACCAACACCGACGGACGAGCTTCGCACAAACGTCTGGCCAAAGTGGCGACCTATTCTTGAACTTGCTGCCGGAACAAGCCGAAATAGGCTGGTACAAACCAGGCACTCTTGGAATGGACCGAATGCGCAAACTAGCTCAACACACTCGTGTGAACCGATTGCTTTCAATTGCAGTGCGGTAGGAGTACAGCTCCGAGACGACTTTTCCTGGCCTGCTCTCTCACTAGCTAGAGCCCAGTGTCGGACAAAATCGATTGGCTCACTTCTGGTGCAGTAGATATCACCAACAGAAGGTTGCGACTCAGCATTGATTGGGTGTCGAAGGCCTGTTGCTGCACAGCTGCCCAAACGGCAGTGCGACCATGTTCGCTGCTGGCATCGTCCGTCCCCCTCCGATGCCTGGGCTCATTCGACTCCTTCGCGGAGTTCACGCAAGCAAACACTTACATGAGCATCTCAAGTCTCACTGGATTCGCGATGGCTTTGGAAATCACAACGCCAAATCCTGGAGAGCCTGGAACCTGGCTTTCCTTCGATCACCCGTCGTCGCAATGGATAAGAAACAGCCACCGCGCCGCAGACTTGTATGACAAGGGGATCAAGTTCTATCGGAAGGAGGATCTCGTGAACATCGAAAAGGAGGTCTCCGAATACTACGTTCGGGAGTTCTTCAACCTTCCGCGCATTGACTGGACTGTTCTGCGCATGCGAAATCCTCTTCACGGCGTCCTCAAGCCAATCTGGCGAGTTTCACCCGGCATGTTCGAGCGGGCAGCCAGTGAGGATGGTTGCTCGCGGGGCTAATTAGCATCGTCAGGAATCCAATCATAGAGTTCCAGAACTACTGGAAGCTTGTGAGGAAGGAGCCGGAGGGACCCCCCGAAACGCACCTGTGTTCGTTTCGCGTGGACTGGCTGAATCAATCTATGCAGCGGTATGAAGGGAACATCGATGCATGCGTTGGCATTAAGAATGGATTGATGCCAGGGTTGTTTCTACGTTGAATGATGGATTTGAAAGGCATCTATGTGGTCACTCGGAAAATGTTTCTACAAACAGTACCTCCGCGTTATATCCTCAATTACCTTTGTCACCTCCTTCAGACTGTCGACATCTACCCACTCCACAGCTGCATGCAGCCCCTCACCCTTTGGCCCATACACAATTGATGGGATGCCCGCCTCGTTCAAAAGACCTGCGTCGCACCAGAATCCAGCTGCAGCTGGCGCTGGCACATGGCCGGTCACGTTCCCAACCACGGTTCTCACGGTTTGTACAAAACTATGGTCATCCTCGAGGGCCGACCCCGGGCGAGCAAATGTCATGCGCGGGGCGGCATACCGGAAATCAGGTGTCTTTGCAGCCACCTCTCCCAGAATACGATTCAGATCGTCCATGATCGACGACGGTGTCTGAGGCGGCACCGTCCGGAACTCAATGGTCAGGGTGCATTTTGCCGGGTAGCTTGACGGTTCCTCGCCGCCTACGAGCTTGCCGCCGTGGAGGTGCGCTTTTCCGAGAAGGGGGTGCGTGGGAAGCGTGCGACCATACTCCAGGAGAGCCGTTTGCAAACTGCCGGCCAGCAGGATCGCATCGATGCCGATGTGCGGCTCGGAGCCGTGCGCAGCCTTGCCCAGCACATCTATCTCAACCCACACGAAGCCCCTGTGCGCCGTGACCATGGCTTGGCTGGTTGGTTCAGGGATGAGTGCTGCATCTGCCTTCCAGCCGGCGGCCAGGACGTCCTCTGTTCCTTTGGAGAAGTTTTCTTCGTCTGACACGGCGGCCAGAAGAATGTCGCCTCTGAGCTTCTCGGCACCCGACTTGGCGAGGGCTGCGAGGACTGCCATGGACGACGCGACGCCAGCCTTCATGTCCAAGGACCCTCTGCCATAGATGCGGTTGTCTTGCAGGCGGCCACTGAGCGGATCCGCACCCTCGCCATAGGATGAAAGGCTCACCGTGTCAATGTGGCCGTTCAGCATGAGAGACTTACCGCCTCCAGTGCCACGTAGGACACCCACAATGGACGGCCGCCCCGCAGTGCGCTCGACCCAGTGCGCCTCCAAATCGCGGTGTCGAAGCCATGAGAAGATGTATTCTGCGATGGCGGTCTCGTCAGATCCAGCATCATTCGACAGATCGGGGTTTGCAGATGCGATCCTTGTGAGGATCTGGGTCAAGCCTGTCGCATCCTCGACCGCCACGTCCAAGGGCTTCTCGTGGTGGCGTGAGCTTTCGGTGTTGAGCACCACCACGACAGAGTCGGCGGTCAGCCAGCTGGGACGCTGGTCGCTTTCCGCCAGCCGTTGCAAGCCTGCCAAGGTAGCGCCACCGCAAGGGCCGCTGTTGATGCCTCCCTCCTCGAGAACACGAGTGGCTTCATGGGCTTCATGGTCCGACACTGTCACGCAGGCGTCGACGCCCGATCTTAGGTCGTTGAAAGCCGTAAGCGATACCGTGCCGCAGTTGAGGCCCTCCATGATGGTCTTAGAGGTGGCCACGGACGCGATTTTGCCCTGCCTCAGACTCTCGTACAAGCAGGCGGCCGTGTCTGGCTCGACCGCTAGTACGCGATATGCCCGATCGCCTGACTTGCAGTGTCGAACGACAGCCTGCGCCAACGACCCAACGCCACAAGGGGTGACGACAAGGTCCGGCTTCAGGCCCTGCGAAGTAAGCTGGGCATCGACCTCTGCAACGAGAGTAGCGTAGCCCTCAACAATCCATTTCGGGATGTCGGTGTAGCCATCAACCGCGGCATCTTGGACGAAGAGTCCGCTAGGGTCGGTCTTGGATGCAGCATGGGCTTCTCTCATCGCGCCATCGTAATCCAGCTGGCTGACCACGACCTCGGCGCCCTCGGAAGCTATGTGCTCGGCTGCTGCGGGGCCGACAGCCTTGAACACATATACCTTGGACTGGATTCCTAGCAAACGAGCTGTGGCTGCCAACGCTCGGCCGTGATTCCCGGCGCTGGCGGTGTATAGGACAATCGACTTTTGCTGTGCACAGCGGGCGATGTCTTGGAAAGATGAGTTGAGGGGCAAGTCGAACTGGTCGATGATTGCCCGGCAGGTGCCCCAGGAGGCACCCAGAATCTTGAAGGAGGGGAGTCCGAGGCGATTGCTCTCGTCCTTGACGTAGATGGCTTTGACGTCAAGTTTCTTCGCCAACGATTCCATCGAGACAAGAGGCGTGACGGCAAAGTCTGGCATCTGGCAGTGAAAGGAGCGCGGCAGTGAAACATCGTCGTGGACATTGATTGAACCAGCCGTCTTGTTGAAAAGAAGAGGCTTGCGTGACGACATTTTGAAGATAACCAGCGTACTTTTGGATGCTGTGCTGCTTGAAGCGCCTGAAGTCGAGGACAAAAGCTGAATGCCGGGAGCAGTGCGGAAGAATTGGAAGGAGGTTCGAGCAAACTCGGGAGCTCTTGGAATGTACAAATCGAAGATTGAAAGGAATAAATGTGCTCTGAAAGAAGAAAAATCAATCTGATAGAAGGCGTATACTGCGTACAATGGATTAGAGGTCAAGTTCACAGAAGGCGTCATAAGTTCTCAGAAGGCGTCGGTGGAGATTCGGAGTACAGAGGCGTGAATGATAGAGCCTAGTTGCCAATTCAGGCTAGATTCGGCTGCGTCTCCCGATGTGTGGCCATCACTTGCGCTAACTTCAACCACCCACTTGAAGTCAGGCAAGTGGTGGTCTTTACCGCGTGTGAGGGCTTTGGGCATGAAACTTCCCTCGCAGTTGCATTGCTAACTCGGCCTGCCGTATTCGGTTCTGGATAGTTACATCGGATTTCTAGCGTCATTATTATCTAGATACATTGTTACCAACAGTGTACTAATATGAACAAGTGCTTCTGGACAAAAATTGCAGATGAATCAGCTCAGATCACTGAGCGCGCACTCCAGAGATCGACTGCATGAAACGATGAACAAAGAATCGCTTTCCTTTCCAAAGTTCACGACGCGACCAGAAGAACCTTCTTTCATTCACTCCCGTTGATCCATTCTCATGTACCTGGCCTCAAAATCTAATTTCGTGTAAACCAGAGCAGAGTCTCGTGACCGGACGCCGAGGTAGCCTTGGAAATGCTACCGAAAGGCTGGAGTCAACGTCCCGGTGCACAACAACGTCCCGGTGCAGAGACCAGGGCGCGCTTATTTGCAGCGCGCCACGTATATTCGCAGACCACGCTGATAGGAGAGCCGAATCGATGTGGTCGGCCCTGAAAGTCTAGCCAAGACCTTTCCCCGCTTCCAGAGCCTTCCTACGGGATTTGGTTCTGAAAATATTGGATGACCGGTGAACGGTTGTGTAACACATTGTGGCGAACGTAGCAAGCATCCCAGAGGGCGAACTTCGACTAGCCTTCTGTTGATGGTGTGGGAATCCGGTGTTTGTATGGTCTGCTCCGCAGTGAAAATGATCCCGACATGCAGCTGACGTTTCAAGTGACACGACTCCTCCTCTTTCTGGTGAGTTGAGCCTCATTACATTGTCTTAAAGCAGGGAGTGCCGGATCTGCATTCTGTCAGGCTGTTCGATCTTCTTCCACTTCTCACTTCTCCAAATCTTATTGTCATCTCTCAGAATTACCTTGTCAAGATAAGTCAGAGTCTAAATGACCCACGCTGCCATGACATCTGCAGCAGTTTTCTCTGCCACCGACTCAACCATTCCGGTTGCCGAGAGAGCATCCCCCGGACCATACTACTCATCAGGGCTTCGAGCACGCTTCAGGATCGACGCTGGGCGCCCAGTAGCTGGGGTGATGCATACCAGTCCACAAGCATATGCAAAGATTGGTTACGATGTTGACGAGGCGGCGTACTTGCAACGGTCGAAGATCCGGCATGCCACTGGAGGCCTAGCTACCACCTTGCCTGAAGGGTGGCCTGAGGCCTTGGATGGCCCTCTCGTTTGGGGCGCTGGGGACCTAATCAAAGAGCATGAGTATGTGCATTTCCTCACAGCCAAGGACAAGCTGGAGATAGCGGATGCGCTCTGTGTCTTCAAAGGTTGGTTTTGATTCCTCCCTTCACATTCGTCATGCTACCACGATGATTCATGTACTGTGTATAGAGTACGGCCTTGATGGCAATGAGGTCTCCAGAGGAACATTTCCATTGCCCAGTCTTGGCCTCCGTCTCGACAAGGTGTGCGCGGATATTTACGAGGGTCGAGGATTTGCCATTGTCCGTGGTCTAGATCCAGACGAATACTCGGTCGAAGACCTGACCATAGTTTACCTTGGCATCTCGAGCTACATCGGTGAGCGGCGGGGGAAGCAAGACCAACGTGGCTCGATGTTGAGTAAGTTCACCATCATATCTCATATTTGTTACAAAATAAGCCCAGGACAAGCAAAGCTCTTGAAATGGTACTGACGGTTTATATCTTCAACAGTGCACGTTATAAAGCGGAACGATGAAGGTCGCGATGTTCAATATAGCGAGGACAAGGTTAGCATGTGCTCCACATACTATTTAAGGGCCTACACAAATTCCTAACCTGCTCACAAGCCCTTCCACACGGACACTGTCACGGACTGCGTCTGCTTGTTTACGCAAAGCCTCGCTAACGCAGGTGGACACAGTGTAATCGCGTCTTCTTGGACCGTTTACAATGAGCTCGCTGCGACTCGGCCCGACCTGATTGAAGTTCTGTCTGCCGCTGACTGGCCATTTGATACGTACGTTCAATTTGGCTAGCCCCTGCTCAGCATGGTACGGATCCCGCGTAGTCCTCTGACGTGTGACGATCTAGCTTCGGTCGAGATCCCAAATTCTACCGCCGCCCTTTGCTGTTCTATCACCATGGCAAGTTGATCATTTCCTTTTCGCGCCGCCTTCTGGTAGGTCACGAACCGTTCGATGCCCGCACCCCCGGCATCCCAGGCCTCACAGAAGCCCAGGCTGAGGCCTTAGACGCTGTCCATATCATCGCTCGTAAGCACGAGATGAAGCCACGCATGGAACGCGGCGATCTTCGCTTCATCAACAACATGAGCATCCTGCACCGCCGTGAGGCTTTTGAGAATACCGCCACTGCTTCTCGTCACCTTGTTCGAATCTGGCTCAACAATGAGATGATGTGCTGGAAACTCCCACGATCTCTACGTCTCGCTTGGGCGCGTGTTTTCGAGGATGATGAGCGGGAAGAACACTGGGATATCGTTCCACCCATGAAAGACGGCAAGGTTCTGCGTGTCGCTGGTACTTGCGACTGAGACGTCGCGAAATCTTTCCATTTCATTCTCTGTTTCTGTCAAACTTGGGTGCTGATGCCGTTCTGAGCCTCCACGGTCTTTTTTCTCAAGAGTTCGTTCGGGACACCGATTGTTAAAGCCACGAGTCGGGTTTCGTTCTAGACAATTGTTGCCGGCTACTATAGTCCTTCCATGGGTAGAGTAGCACACAATTTGTGGCTGAAATAACATGTTTGCCCCTTTATGTGTTCACCTTCGTTTCAGATTCGGTTGAGATATACTCAACTTATGTTAAAACTCATAACTGTTGCTCATTAACTGGATCATTGCTGTCAACTTGCTTCAGGATATGCCAAATAAGCAATCGAGTGGCGCCCAGATTGCCTTTTCCTTGCCCGCACCTTCGAACCTGTGTTCTGCCCATGATCTATCTGCCTCGAAAGCCGTCGGCCCAGGCGTCCATTTCTCTTCATACAGCTGTGAGACCCAGTAGAGCTCGTCATTGAGTCCAGAGTAGTCTTTCTGTTCGATCACCCTCTTTCGGACTGCATTGAGACTTGACACTTCTGGCTATTGAGTGAGCACGTTGGCAGGTAGAGATTAGAGGGTCCAAAGGGACGCGTACCGTGATTCTCCCCCCAGAAAAAATATGAGGTTGTTGTAATGAACTGAATTTCCATTTGACCCAGCTTTGTCTGTGTTGCTAGCTCCTTGAGACCGGCTTCGTTGCGGCAGTGAAGAAACGGCAATCCTCCCTTATTGAGGTAATGAAAATGAGCAAGCATGACGTTGACACCAGTGTGATGTTTTGCTATACTTGTTGGATTGGCGTATGCTCTCTAATTCGACCGATCGTCAGCACGCGCATGCCTTTTTCTGTAGCTAGGGCAAAGCGTTACCGTGACATCATACTGTCGCGCTGTCTCCCAGTCCCGTTTAGATATCAGTGAGCAGTTGTGGAGAAGGATGAACATCGTGAGGTATATCGTCAGCCAGTTCTCCCTCTTATTTTCGTTCATCAGCAGGCTCAGTTTTTGCAAGACTTCTTTATGTCTTGGCCGCAACACCTTTGTATACATGATGCATTCCATTTGGGCAATCATGATGACCGGCATGGGAACCACGTTGAAGAACATACTCGTTGCGTCATCGACAACCTGACCACCGAGTTTATCGGACCCGAATATGTGATGAGGATTGCTGGTCTTACGACACGCTACCCAAAACCGGAAGGTCGCTCTTATCAGGTCTTTCTCTAGGTCCGTCTGTTCAAAAGAATCAGCAAAACAATAGAGGGGCGCGGAACGAGTTGACCCCTACTGGAGTACGTTCACCGACCTTTGCTTCTTGAACGTAGTTGAACGCAAAATAATACGTGTCCCAAATGAGTTTACTGGAGTTTCCAACTGTGCCTACGATGTAAGTTCCCACACTTTGGTTGATAAAGCGTCCTAGCATCTCCGCGGTCTTATACATGTTGGCGAGAGCGTATCTTGGGACAGGGTGAGACTTGACGCGGCCATAAGCCATCCACTGCTCAACAAGCATGTCGCCCTCATCAGGCTCAAACTCTCGTACCTCGACGTCATATGGGGCATCAAGATATATCTGAGAGATGGTGATCGTCTCAATTCGATCAGAAGCCCAATGTTGGATGTCAATAATATCCATGCTTTGCCAGCGCTTGGAAAAGAGTTGATAAGGCCGAGACTGCTCACGATAAAGTGATGAATCTGTAATTATCCAGCGGAGACACGGCATCTTGCGAATCGTGGGCGCATGTAGGTGCTGACACGTCAGACAGATGCCCTGTGGAGCCTCTTGGTTAGGCTCGCACTTCGGAACAAGTTAGCTGGGACTTAATCTGTTCGCATGGTTGTTCTTACACGTATTCGCAACATACGACATCGCATGCAACCCCGCAAACGCCTTGTAAGTGCCGTCTTGGTACGTAGCTCTAGGTTTTGAAAAGGCTTTCGCTTTACTTGCGCCCTAGTCTGAGCAGGTGTAACGTTAGTCTTAACTTTCGAGCCTGTAGCTGAAGGAGCTTTGCTCATGCGCTTCTTGCGAGGTTTCTGTATACAATGCAATCAGCGACAGGCACACCAGTACAGATGGATTTCACTAGTTCACTGTCGGTGTACCTCTGGCAATACCCAAACCTTGCTACATGGTCCTTGGTGTGCATTCGCGAGTTCTTGTCCTTCAGTTCCGGCTGTAACGCCATCGATTCGCTCTGCATCATGAACAAGGGGAGCCGGGGGTACGGGGGTCGAAGCCATTCTCAACGATGAAGCATGTACGGATATTGTTCCACTGAGGTCAATAGAAAACAGTATAGGGAAAGACCAACGATACTCAGGGCGAGACCCTAACTCTCTGGTCCCTTGTGGATTTGATGGTTTGTCGGTGACTGCCGGGCCCGGGTTGTTTTGATCAGGCGTTATGTGATGTCGGATATTCTTGTTGTTATACGCTTCGCACTTCGCACAATCCCCATCCACAGCTTTGGTAGTGCTGCGAGGTTTTATATTGGGTGTTGAGAGTAATGTATGATACAACACCCGGGCTCTGATCTTGATCACAGGACCTTAAGGAAATATATACCAGAATTCCTTTTAATGACACACTGCATCACGAGATCTTCGTGCCGTCCTTGGTTTCGCCCAAAAGCGCATCATGCATAATCATCAAGCAATCAGAGTGAGCTCTGCCAAGCAAAGCGGAGCAGTAATCATGCCATGTAGAGACAACTTCAGTCTGAATCTTGTTAGCATGATCTACAAGCAATAGGCAGGCTGTTAAGCAGCCGTTTCCACGTAGGCAATCCGCATACAGGGGGGTTCAGCCGCGGCGGATTCAGCCGTAGCGGCCCCACCGATAAGTCGCATGAACTCTAACACATCGTCAAATACCTAACTGACCTAGGTACTTTACTTGATTACCTACCCAAGGTACCCATTACATGGTCAGAGGTCAAAGTTTCATTAGCCTGTCAGGTATCGAAAACCCTGCTTGTGGGGCACGCTTGTATAGAAGGTACAACAGCAAAAGTCCCGTTTCTTACCCAAAATTATACCACCTAATGAGGCTGGTCTACGAGCCACTGATACGTAGGAGAAATGTTAAGGCAATCGATGGGGAAGTCGATGAATCATAGAGATCATAGACGTTCCCTAGGTTGACCCCTGATCGTTGCTCTTCTTGACGAACACGCTGCAGGCCCTGATTCTTCTTGGCCCGACGTGGAAGATTCGGCTTGGTGTTCTGTCGCAGACGTAGGCATGCTGCACCTCAACCGACAATTGCATGATACCATTCGATTCCGATGAAGAACCCTGCGAATCACCGTCGAGCCCTGGCGTCGTCCATTATTCGTGAGTCAAGCCTCCGTTACAATGGGATTTTGACACTGCCAACTCTTACCTTGTCGAATACGATTGTTTTCGGTGCTGCATTGGACCATTGAAAGGCATGCTGTTTGTCTGGGAACTACCCAATGGCATGAAGAGAAAGATCGAGATAAGCCCCCACGAAAAGGCGGCAGGGCGAATTTTGTCCAAACACGATGTTCAGTCAAGGTAGCACAGAATGATCGTGGAGTCGCACCCGGTGAGTTTCCTTAACCTATGTTGCGTAGGTACGGGTATGCGACGACCTTCATCGGACTCGTGATAGAAAAGCACGTTGATTGGGCAAGAAAGGTAGTCTTACTGGGCTGATCACTCGGATGGGACTGTCCCCGCTGTCAAAAGATATGTTCCTGTCTTTTCTTTCTTTTTTTAAAAAAGTGGAGCTCTGCTTTCTATCGAGTCCTTGAATGCGCTCGTCAATGGCGACTTCCCGGCCGTCGGCCGGCCGGTTGTCTCACATTCCTCCATCCTGAAGCGCTCCGTCCACAAATTTTATCTTATCATTTGTTTCGATGGACCTTCACCAGTCGGGACAGGAGGCAGACGGCAAATATCGCAGCCCAACACCAAGAGTCTGGACTCAGAGCCTCAGCGTGGAGCCCACATAGCTGGCTGGCCAATCATTGATGGTTTACTCTCCAAATCCGATGAAGGACCCGAGTTGAACGTCGTATTGACGCACGTCGTTGATCCGTGAGATGTCTGTTTGCGTGACAATTATGGCACTGACATCCACTGGAGGGCTACAACTAAACCCTTCTAGCTCTCGAGGCCGAGAATAAAATATTCTTAAATATCACCTCAGGAGCAGGGTCTCGAGGTGTGAGAAGCTGGCTCATCTGCTCCCTTCATATCACTTTAAGTCTCAGCTCATGTCGCCCAACCTTGTTCTCCTGAACCTACGTAGCAACCTCAAGTGCCATCATGCCACGCAACAGCTCGTCCCAGCAACCTGCGCCTTACACCGCACTTATCCGAAGCAATGGCAAGTTTTGTACTCTCGAAACCCCCTACAGTGACGCCGAGACCTTTTGGTAGACTTAGCTGACAGGCGAAGGAACCTTCGAACCTCGCGACTTCAATCCAGTTCATCCCACCGTGACAGTCGGTGCAAATCGAAGCACAACTGCTGCTGTGGCATCGGGAACGCCCAACCCGGAGCAGATGCCGCGTCAAAATGCTCACACGAGCTCGAATGCTAGTACGAGCTCAGCAGGCCAGGCCGAGATGCTCGCCGGCGTGGGTGCTTGGGCCACGGATCCTTCCAAATGATCTACAATGCTGAGCGATGGGTGGGTGCTTTATCTGTAAGCTTGACATACTTCAGACATGGCCCCGAAAGCTTGCAATTTACGCAGGATGTTAACAGTACCCAGGAAACCGCCCTCACTGCTGACGAATAGTCGGTGTTTGCAGGCAAGTTGGTGTTGTCATGTCTTTTGGAGCCTTTTTATAGAAAGCCGACGATGGTCGAGACAGGGGGTTCGTGGTGGGGGGGGGGGGTGGGGCGGTGGCGCCGGGGAAGAAGGAATATTGGTTGCATTCTTTATCATGCTCGTATTGCATAGTAAAGAGCCTGCTTGAATCTTATCTCATACAGTGCTATCAAGCGATGTTACAGAATTGGCCCAGACGCCAATTCCGCTATTGTATATCTGGAGCACCCAGTCCGTACCGTTGTACCTGAGGTCGTTCTCATGTTCAAAGGGATGGCCCGAAACAATCATGACCTAGTCTCGAAGCCGCAATGAAGCGTCAGGCGGCTACGCCAGAAGAAATTACATGGATAAACGTCTAAACGCCGAAGAGCTTCAGTGGGGCCACGACCAACCACCCTAGAACAAGGACATCCAGTGCCTTGGCCACCTGCGTCGAGTCTTCAATGGCGCGATTGTACTCCTCGAGCATGGGAATCTTGGCCTTGGTGTTCCAGTACGAGCGCATGTAGAGGCTGATGCCGTACGAGCCGGCGGCGAGGACGAGAGCCCAGGCGGTGTTGCGGAAGACAAGCTTGCTAGAGGTGAAGAGCACGAAGCTCAGGCCGTTGTAGAGTGAGAAGAGGGACTTTTGAGGCGTGTCAGCCACTCTGCACGCCGTGCAGATGAAATCACGAAGGATGCGACCGCAACCTACAAAGATGAAGCCGGCGCCGACGGTGTAGCGGGTATCCCAGAGCTGCTTCTTGGCGGTGCTGCTCCATTCGGCAGCCTTCTCGGCTGTCTGCTCATACTTTTGAAGCTTCGGGATGGACTGAGCCGAGAAGTAGACGGCGTAGCCGCTGGCTGCCGTGACCAGAAGGGTCACGATGTTGGAGATGAGGACCATTTTGCTTGCGTTAAAATATGATTATTCGTCTTTGATGAATTGTTAGCGACGTGAAGTTGACGTGTCAACGTTGTGCGAGCCTCGTGCGTTTTAACGGGAAGGAAATCGTGAAGAGACGATGATGTCATGCGCCGTTGTGACAGCTCACAGACACGTGCTAAAGCCGGATGACGATGGTCACGCACCCGCTCCACCACTGGTCAGTCTGATTGAAGTGTCGTGGCCCGATCTGGCATGTCCAGGTTCATCGCGTCTGCTGACGGCATCGTAGCAGCTTATATCGAGCTTGCGGCGGAAATGCCATGATCCATTGCGCATTCCAAACGCGCTCCGTTGAGGCCATGGTTTTTGGTGGGCGGCCGACAACGAGGGGCATATCCATCCATCTATCTGTACGCGCTGGGCGCTCGGAGGATGATCGAATCGATCGGGGAATACTACTACTCCCAAGTGCACCTCGATTGGCCGACCGTGTCACGCGAGTATAGGTACTCTGACGAATGCTCTCGAACCCAGGGCTCCAAAGATGGGATGAGGGCCCGGTCAATCGCCAAGCACTATTGTCATCAAAATAAGCTCATGAGCCGAATTCCGGGTTACAGATCAACGAAAATTGATCCCCACCCATCCCTCCATCATGATGCCACGCATCCGAGAGAGAGGGGTAGAGAGAGAGCTTACAGATGAATCAATTTCGAGTTAGCATCGTCAAATGGATCGAAGGCTTGGTATTCCCGCGGAGGAGGAGACACAGGGGGTGGCTATGCCAGGTGAGCGGCGGGCACTAGGCGCCTTGAGGCAAGGAATCGCAGAGGGAAAACAAGACTTTTCAGCTGGAGGGTTCACCTGGCAGATGCGGAGGCGAGGTCAAGCATGGGTCTCTGCTGCTCGAGCTCAAGGCACGTCACACCTGTGGACTGCTGTGGCCGCGCTATAGGCTTGAAATGCGGGGCTTGGCACCCTGACATGGACAGAGCCTGGTCAGTGAACATGCCCAAGATGCCCACCTGGGCAAGGTGCCTGCCCGAGATGCCCCTGCCTTGGTCTGACCTGCCCTGAACAACTAATGCGAGGAGGCTGGAACTGGAACATCGAGGCAGGACCAGCCCCGCGTTTGCCTGCCTGCCTGCCTGCCACCTGAGGTCCTTCCTGTGGTCCTGAGGTTCGGAGATCGAGGCAGTTAGGTACATGTCACGATGTACTCGTGCACCGCCACTGCCATTTAAAGACGATGGGGAGCTTTCCCCGCGCGTGCACTGCGCGGGCAGCACCTCTCTGCTCTCTTGCTCTGTGCTTCTTGCCTTCTCCGCCAGTCAGTCGCCCATCGACTCGATTCACTCTCTCGTGACCTATGTCGCGTTTGTGATCCCGCCATTGCGATCCATTGCCCTCGACCGACCCAATTGATCCATCGATAATTGACGAGACCCCGAACCACCACCGCCCACCATGTCGAACGGCCGCGGGTCCGAGCAGACGCCTCTGCTTCCCAGCCTCAACGTCGAAATCGCCCACGAAGGCGAGAGCGGCCGACAGGGTTTCCACATCAACCACTTCCTCGCCGTCCTCTGGCGCAGCTCGTGCACCGCTTCGAAGCTCGTCAACGTGCTCTGGCCTGTCGTCCCCGTTGCCCTCATCCTGCAGTTCTTCCCGGGACTGCACATCTGGAAGTTTGTCATTGCGTACATCGCCGTCATCCCTTCTGCCAACCTGCTGGGCTTTGCAGGCCAGGAGTTCGCGCGTAAGCTGCCCAAGGTCGCCGGCATCCTGATTGAGACGACATTCGGATCCATCATTGAGATTATTCTTTTCGTCGTCCTCATCGTCAAGCACGACGCGAGCGACCCCGAAGACAATGGCGACGAGGGTAACCTTGTCCCCATCATCCAGGCCGCCATTCTCGGCAGCATCCTGACGAACCTGCTCCTCTGCCTCGGTCTGTGCTTCTTCTTTGGCGGCCTGCGCGAGGCCACACAGAAGTTCCACAGCATCGTCTCCGAGGTCGGCAGCGGCCTCCTGCTCGTTGCCGCCTTTGGTCTCCTCATCCCGAGCGCCTTCTACTCGGCCCTCAAGTCTGAGGTCGTCCCGCTGCTGCCGGGCCTGCCAGGTCCTCACGAGCCCTTCACCGAGCGAAAGCTCGAGGACGACGTGCTGAGCATCAGTCAGGCCACCTCCATCGCCCTCATTGTTGCCTTTTTCCTGTACATCTGGTACCAGGCCAGCAGCCAGCACAGCATCTTCGACGAGGTCATCGAGGCTGACGAGCACCGGGATGCGGATCGCGAAGCCGATGCCGAGAAGCCCAAGTTCACCATGACCGAGGCCCTCATCGCCATTACCATTGCCCTTGTGTTCGTGACGCTACTCCTCATCTTCCTCGTCGAGGAGATTGAGCACGTCGTGGAGGCTGGCGTGCCCGACCAGTTCTTGGGTCTGATCCTGTTGCCTCTGGTCGAGAAGGCCGCTGAGCATCTGACGGCGATTGACGAGGCCTGGGGTGCGTTTTTCTTTCCCCCATGATCCTGCAGAACAGTACTGACGACTTTTCCAGACGGCGCCATCAACGTGGCTCTCTACCACTGCCTCGGCCCCTCGATTCAGACTGCCCTGTTCAACGGCCCGCTTGTCGTCATTGTCGGCTGGGCCCTGGGGAAGCCCATGGACCTCAACTTTGAGATCTTCATGATTGCTCTGCTTGTCCTGTCGATCCTCGTTGTCGGCAACTTCCTTCGCGACGGCGAGTCTAACTGGCTCGAAGGCGCGCTGCTTGTGGTATGTTATTTTGGTGGTTGCTGGACCGATGACCTGCAGAAGCTGATATTGGCCCACAGATTGTCTACGTCATCATCGCCATTGCTTGCTGGTACTACCCTAACCCCGACGTCGCGACCTCGAACGGCCTGCAGGCCACGGAGCTGGTTAATGTGACCATGAGCGTCGACCAGCTGAAGCAGCTGCAGCAGCTTCTCGCCGCCAAGCTCGAGTAAGAGCCCTCTTAATTATCTCCAATCGAGCACGATCGCCTCGCGACTGTCCGCGGAGACTAGTCTCAAATCTTGTGTCGTTGTTGTGTAAATTCTGGAGGGGATGGGTGTCAGGGTGTGACAAGAGGACAAAATTGGCCATGCTAGCATATCTTCAGGTTGGGTTTCCCGTCACTTTACTCACTATCTGACTATATCTGTACCATTGTTAGCTACGAATACAAGCATCACGTCGTATTGGAACACCGCAAGAACACAATTGATCACCCATTTGGCTTCAGAAGAAGAGCTCCCTTCAACACAGGGAATGCGTGGAAGAGATGCAGAGACTTGCGTGTCTTGACAGATAGGTATAGTACTTCATTATCGTCTAACTCGACTAACACACCGGCCTACCAGGCACACACACAAGAGCTGCCAGTCTCGCATCAAACTACACATCCTGTACACGGGCGGCACGCTTATTCCTCGCACGTGTCGTCAGTCTCGGAGGGCTGGGGGGCGCTCGAGACGGCGCTCGAGACGGGGGGCTCGACAGTGGTCGTGGCGACGGCGGTCGAGGTGATGGTCGTCGTGGCGCCGGTCGGGGTGGGCAGGCACGAGCAGGCGGAGGAGACGCGGGAGATGACGTTCTGGCCGCAGGCGGACGAGGCGTAGCTGGGGACGACCTTGACGTCAGCCTCCCAGCCGTCAAGGAAGCCGGCGCAGAACTCCTGCGACTCCTCGAGGCGGCCGGCGACCGAGTTGGCGCGCAGGGCGCGCAGGCAGTTGTCGGCGTTGCACGTCTTGGGCTTGCACTTTTCGCGCTTGGTGACCTTGACGAGGTAGCCGCCGCGCTCGATGGTGTTGATCCAGACGTAGCCCGAGGGGAACTCGGCGTACGAGGACCACGAGCCGACAAAGGCCGGGTTGCCGCCGCCGGGGGCCGAGTCGTCCTCGGGGTAAATGTCAAAGTAGGCGACCTCGCAGACCGAGTCGCCTGTGGGGTCGTCGGGGATGGACGACACGTCGTAGACGCGCAGGCCGGCGCCGTAGTTGGACTGGTAGACGAGGCCGTCGTACTTGTTGACGTACTGGTTGTGGTCGACGGAGCGGACCGTGCCCTTGTAGAGACCCGTCTGCTTGGGCGCCTCGAGGTCCGAGATGTCCCAGATGTAGGTGACGGGGTAGCCGTCGATGGCGGGGCCGACGTGGGGGCCGGTGCGGCCGACCTCGTCGTACTCGTCGTCGAGGATCAGGTACTGCTGCCACTTCTTGTCGAGGACGGCGCCCTGGTGGGTGTACTGGACGCCCGTGTAGCTGGTGATCGAGACGATCAGGGGCTTGGACTTGTCGGTGACGTCGTAGATGGTCAGCGAGTCCTCGTTGTAGGCGTAGCAGATGTCGCGGCCGTCGTAGCGCGAGTCGGGGCCACGGTAGATGAGGCACTCAGCCTGCGAAGGGGGGTTAGCAAGACGGCATTCACAGCAGCCTAGGGGGGCGGGGTGACTCACGTCGTGGACGTAGCCGTCGTCCTTGGCAATGCCGAGCTTGACGGGCTTGGAGGGGTCCTTCAGGTCGAAGAAGATGAAGCCGCCGAGGGCGCTCTCGTTGCGCGGGCGCGAGCCGACCGAGGCGCCGTAGCCGGCCTCCTCGTTGATGACGACGTTGTGAGACGAGCCGATGGGCAGGTCGTTGAACCAACCGGTGAGGTCGGCCTTGCCGAAGCGGACGGGCTTGTCGCCGGCCTTGAGCTCAATGTCGAGCAGCTTGGTGAGGTCGAAGATCTGGACGCCGTGGCCCTCGAGCTCGGAGCCGACGACAATGTAGTTCTTGTAGCGGCGGACCTCCTTCCACAGGGAGCGCGCGGCGGCGGGCACGACGGCCGGCAGGAAGCCGAGCACCTTGATCTTGCCCTCGGGCAGGATCTCGATGAACGAGGTGCCGTCGTACTGGCCGTTGGCGACGAACTCACGGCCCGACTCCTCGTGGACCCAGCCCCACGAGCCCGAGCCGGTGCGGAGCTGCACGTCCGAGCCGGGGGAGCCGAGCTCGGCGTGGTTGACAAAGTCGTAGAGGTCGATGTTCTTGCACCGGAAGGTGTGGAGGGGGTCCCCCTTGACGGCCTCGGCCTTGCCGTTGACACACTTGGTGTAGTTGAGGCGGGGCCACTTGGTCGAGTCGAGCAGACCGGCGGCCTGTTCGCCCTGCCAGAAGGAGAGCTTCTCGGCCATGATGTGCTCGTGGAGCGCGCCATTGTCGTAGAACTCTGTGTCGAGGGTTAGTCTCGCAGGCCCACAAGAAGCTGACCACACCAGAGGCACCACAAGAGAGGCAGTCTCTTACCAGCAGCGAGGGCCTCGTCCTTGGCAATCTCCTTGCCGATGACGGCAGAGGCAGCGGTCAGGACCGCGCCAGCAATGGTGTTGTAGCGCATGGTGAGGGTTGAGGGTTGACCTTGCGGAGGGCTTGTCTGGTGGTCGGAGGGGGTGAGGGGGCAAGAGCAGCGCGAGATTCGAGGAGCGCAGATCCTCCGATATTTATGAGAAAGCTCTCCTTCCCTCCGCTTGGCTGGTGATGCCTAGAAACGGGAGGGGGGGGGGGGGGTGAAGGGGAGGGCTCCATTGCACGCTCATGCCTGTCGGGAGGACCCAGGCGCGAGAAGCTCAATCTGGCAGCTCCCAAGGTGGGATTATCCAAAGTCCCCCGCCCACCCGTCCACCTCCGGTCCTGGGTTTTGCTCTGCGGGTGCCTGCGTGTCTGTAGTGACTGTCTGTTTGTGTGTGTGTGCGTGTGTGTGTTGGGTCGGCGGCGGCGATGTCGACATGGGATATCGCCAAGAATACCACGCCGCTATGGACGGATGGGGTAGGAGGGAAACGGCTTGGCGCGTTAGCTCACATGGTACCACGCATGGGCAGAATCGCATTGGCAAATCAACAGAGGCTTATGTGCGGATGGCTAACTGCTTAGTCTCCGCTCCCCGCCCTGTGCCTGCGTCGCCTCTATTCCGCGTGGAACAACTCGAGAAGGTGGGCGTTTGCGCCATGCCGGCCCTGTCGACATGGCAATGAGGCGGGGGGAGCCCGGCCAGGGCTTGGGGGCGTCGTGGCGAAAGGGGCAAGAGATGAGAGATCACCATGTTCTGGGCCGGCGTTGTTCCCCTCTTCTGCTCTGTTTCCTATGCAGTAGGCAGGGTATGGGGAGGAGGCCGAGATACCCTTGTTTTTAAGCATGATGCCTAGTCTGTGGATCATCATTTTATCAATCAGCACGCCCTTTGGGGTCGCTTGTTCTTCGTCTCCGCTGGGTTGCTATCCCGGCCTACCCGAGTGTCCTCGAATCTATTTATTCACCTCTAGACGACCTATTATTAAGTGTTGTGGCACTCATGATGATCTGACTCTTCACAAAGAAATCTGTCTACTCTCCAATACTCGGGTATTCATAGTGAGCCGTGAACCAGCATCATCATCCAGAACAATCACCTGGTCAGTCGAAATAACGCCCAGCCGGTAGACCAGCCGACACCCGACCGACAACCCAGTCGGTCGACTCCTCCAGCGAGCTCGCCATCGCCTCCTCATCGCGACCAATAATGACGTGAGGCTCATCGCGGGTCCCCTTTCCAAGCCGTCGTCGGCCCTCTGCTGCCTCTCGCTCACCTGCCCGTTTTGCCGCTTGAGCGCCACCCCGACGGTTGCCCGCGAATGACGAGATCCCACATCCTGGTGACCGCAATCGAGCTGCCAGAATCTGCTTGGTGCCGATTTGCTGTGCCCGCACTTCGACCCCTGTCGCTGTCATGTGCTGGGGCCGCCCGCCGTCTGTGCAATCTTATCGGTACTGTTTATCTCGAGCTCGACCGATGTCTGCCAGTCGGCATGCAGTGAAAAGTGGGTGTCATGTGTTTGTCTGTGTTCGCCGTCCCAAGTCAACGGCCCTCAAGGTTGGCGGACCTGGAGTTTAGCCGCCTGTCATGTTCGTCGCATCTTTCGGCGTCTCCCCCTCCCCCTTCTTCTGGAAGCGATCGCCAGCGGTCTACTACGCTGTTCACGGCTTCTTTCACCATATTTGCCCCTGAGGACTCATTTGGCATTCTCACTTTCGAGGGAAATGCTACCTGACAAGACCGCCGCCGTCGCCAACACTGGCATCTCCAGAAATACGACCACCAGCGCAAAAAGCATCATGGGCCTTCTCTCAGCGTCGGTTCGACCGCCGCGATTTCATGCTTCCCTACAAGAACTTGTGTAATCATATCGACTGCTCTTCAACAGGCCAGAGAGTCAGAAATGGAAGTGTTCCCCCTTGTACAAGACTGTACCTGTCCCAATCCCCATACCGGTGAATTACCGTCCACGCTGTAATGAGGCCACTTCGACGGCATAGGAACGGCTGCCGTATCTTCCTTCGGCGCACGAGGAAAGCTCCCTCTCTTCGCCGCTGACCCCGCGTCTCACGCTGCGCCGGACTTGGCAGGCGGCAGTAAGGTGGCACGGCCCGTAAGAATTTCCGCTCAAGAGGCTGCGCGGCGCAAGCCGTCCAATTGCCGTGGGCAGCATCTGTATCTGCCGGCCGGGCCATTGTCTTGCGGCGCCTCCACCAGCCGGAGCCCCCGGCTGCAGGTTCTCCGGAGGCCCGGTTGCGCTTCTTCCAAGTACATGCTAACAATTATCGGCCAAGGTGGACCCCGAGCTCCTCTTCTTAATGACACATGGCGCTGCCGTGTAGTGACGCCGTATCTTACAGACCTAGTCAAGTGCTTCGTGTTTGTTAGTAATACTTGATGAACCTATTATGGCGTGGCTACCATGAATCTGACAGTATTAGGTTCTTGTTCATGTTGTATCTCTGTTTTGGCTCGATAAAGGCCAGACAACAACTGAATATGGCTCATCCTCAGAATAGCTGACCCTCCGCCGAGTCACACCAAAGCCTGTCGCTGGAGGTTTTGCCCTCCGTGCCGCTCCATCATCAGGTGCCGCCACAACTCCCGCCATTCTCTTCTGGCACAGAAACGACATTTGGAATGGTATTGGAAGGCGGAGATGGTGTGCACCTCCTTCCACTCGTTGGCCAACCTTTCGTCAGGGGCCAATAGGATATGCATAAATGTGATATTCAGCTCCGTAGGAAGACTGCTAAGCCAACTGCTCGCCACGTATTCCTGGCTGTCGGATATGTCCGTCACACGTGCTAGTTGGACTTCCCAAGGGGGAAACCAGTGACGGCACCAACGACGCGCAATCAATGCAAGCAGACTCTATGGCTATCTACCTCTGTTGGGAAGATGACTCGGAGGGTCACAGACCTACTTCTGACGCCAGTTCTCACTTCCAGTACTCCGTCAAGGTACTCAAGCTTTTCTTACATATCCAGTAGCCTACACTGGCTGCATGTAAGTGGGAAGAAGGGGAACCGTTGAGCACGTTACACATGCAACTTGGTTGTGCTGCCGTCCTAAATTCGGTTGGTAACAGCGACCAGAGCTACTTTGCTTCACAACATAGGCAACACAAGTCGGCAAACGACTTGCATCAGTCTGCTACCATGGTAGTTGAGTACTCGCCGATATGTGGCGAACCTTACCACTTCCCCCCTGCACACGGCTAGCATAACTGACGTCAAACACTTGTTGTCCTGGAACTGGATCGAAGCACTCAAAGCAACACCTGCGATCGCTGTCCCCGGTAGCCCACCTTATGGACCCCTCCAAGGCCGACGTCACATCAACCGTTGCAGAAAGACTTTGGCCTGATTCAAACCTCTTAGGGTGCAGCTCGCTATCCCGCTAGTCGCCTAGAGCCTTTATTTACGCGTTGCTTATCACGAATCCCATTTTAGACCTGAAAATAAAGGATATCGTAACCGACCGAAACGTGATCCGCAAGCTCCCTCCATTTGCCGATCCCAGTACAGCAACAAATGCACTGACGCCCTTTATATGACGATCGAGGTCATTGGCACACCTGAGTTATTTGCTCGCTAGGGAACCAAAACGACCGAGCTAATCGGCCCAGTGAGCACAAGGGCTTCGGTCACAATTTCGAAAAGACGTACACCGACAGCCAAGTCAGCGGCATCATCGGGCATCGCCAAATCATTTCCTAACAGTTATGAGGTTTGGGTTTTGTCGTCCGTCATGAAATGTACAGCTACCTTGCCACGGCGCCGACCCCTTCTTCTTCTGGTGGCAGGGAAGACCTGGACTGAGGTCTATCCGGCGCCTTGTCGTCTCTCTCCACGTCTCCGACTGCTAGCATGCCTGCCACCAAAGTTGCCGTGACGAAGTTGACGATCCGCAGAGAGGGCAAGATGGTGCCCCTCAGGTCGACCATCGAGATCACGACCAGGACTGTGCGCAAGCCGATCGAGGTCAGAGAAGTCGTGAAGCAACTCTGAACATTACAGACGCCCAAGCTCGTGCCTACTATTACAATGGTCTGCTCCAGTCGCTGCCAATGGTGGAAGATGTGGCGGCCGCAATCTTCCGTTGGGAGGAAGAGAACCAGAAGGGCCTGGCAAAGTTGGCCGTACTCACCCGGTCAGCTTGTCAACGTGGCCAGTGAACTCGGGGGCGAGGTCGTTGTGAGCTACAGCGATAGAAGGGCAAGCTCGTAGTTCGCAAGGGCGATGGAAACGACATATTGCCGAACGATCTTTATATCCACTGGCACGGCACGCCAGATCAACACAATGGTGCGTTGGTGAGCCCCTCTTCCCTCGGGTATGTTCACGGGTCACCAAACAATGACCATGCAGGCGATGACGGCAGAGACCACGACGGACTCAGTCCAACAAGCCGGTGCTGATCCTGGATATGTACCGAGCCAGACAATACCAAAGCTCGCCAGCGTGCTTTTTTCCCGACATTGTTGTACACGGCGTGCAAAACGGATTGTCCCACATCTTCTGCCGCTTCCCCTGGTATCTGGCCGACTTCGGTGTCCTGTGCGACAGCCTCACTCAACACGGCGCTGACGTGACCAACCAGGGACGTGTTCAGGGCGTGGTGACGGGCTTGAAGAGTGGCGACGACGATAACGACCACGGGTCACGAACAAGCAGCCCGCGATGCTGCGTTCGTCTTGGTCCATCTGTTCGTCCTCGGAGAGTTCACGTCGCCATCCATCGATGCTGCAACGGCTGCGCTGTATCGTTTCCCACGACCGGCAGTTCGGGTATAGAAACCCACAACATGGTCCGCGAGGCGTTGGAGTTGAACTTGATGGTATCGTGTAAACAGAGGGTGGCCCAGGAGATGTAGGGTTCTGGGATTGATTCGGACTGGTCGGACTGAGCGACTCGCCCAAACGCACTCCTGCAAGAGGATGTCTAGTTCGACGGCGCCCGTGCTCGTGAGCTCGCGGAGCATCTCGGACCGCAGTCGATTCCGTCGATCTCTCATGCTGACAGCCAACGACGTCGGATTCGAATCCCCCGACCCGATGCATGAAGATGGCGAACGGGTCCCTCGGCGAATCCGCTATCCCCGAGCGGCGGCGGGAAAATCTCCTGGTGACTGAACGAAACGCAATGCATCGTCCGATCTACGGCCGCTACCAAGCAGCCAGACGAATAGCCTTGAAAAACACCACGCGCATTGCACAGCAAAATGGAGCTCGCCAAATGGCAGGTCGGAACCGAGGAGGGGGCTGACTCACTCACCGGGGACAGGGGCCGGCCAGGCTTTCCTCCCACTGAGAAACTGAGAAGCTGCTGAAGGCCACTGAAGAGGGGGGGCTGAACCCAATCAACCCCCGCAGCCCTACCACCACGAACCCACACGGCACCAAGTCGCGAGCGGCATTGGGCGTCGAACCTGCCCGGCCGTTAGCCTCGCAGCCAAAATGCGCGCGCTGTCACGGCAAGCACGGGTGCCTTGTCCTCCAGCGCGTCGACTCATTGGACGCCACATGGCCCATCACCTGATGACGTCGAACAACCTGTACTACTTGGAGGGTAGGTAGCTCGATCATGTTGGGTGGTGGCCTGACCCACACGCCTGCCGCGAAACCGAGCCTGCCCGCCGCACCTGCCCGCCTACCACCTGCTTCCCGCTTCCTGCCACATGCTTCCTGCCTACCATTCGGATCTTACGATGAATGGGGACAGGAAGCGCCATGTACCGGATGGCCATGGCAAGCGCAAGTGCAGTGCCAGTGCCAAGATGGGCAGCATGTGCAGGCAGGTACTTCCGACACTTCCGACCATCGGCCGTCGATCGTTGATGAGATGACAGCCCGTTCAGTCCTACCTTGAGTAAGCTACCGTACCTTGCCTACCTAGGTAGGCTACCAGTAGGTAGCAAGAAAGGCCGTTCAACAGATATCATCACGCGAGCCCGCCGTTTCGCTCTGCCTCGTGATCTGCCCCCCCAGCCCTGCCAAACTCAAAACCCCGTGGCCAGCCCGTCGACCTAGCCCCAAGGCGAACCTTAACCTAACGAGCTGCCGTGCCCGAGATAGCTCACCGTCTTCGGCTCCTTTTTTTTTTGTTTTTCGTTTCTGGACGCTGCTCTTGACCTTTCAAGACCTATCCTCCACATCACGCGCCGCGCTCCTAACCCCGCCAGACGAGTCCTCACAACCGATCGCCACAATGGATGAGAAGAAGCAGAACCACCAAGGTACCGCTCGCCCTCTCGCGCTCCTCACATCATTCCAGCGCCGCCCACTCACATGCCCCACAGCCTCGTCCCTGTCCGCCTCCTCGCCCTCCTTCTCTTGGGCCAACGAGCGCCCGTCCAACACACCCCAGATCACGACCTCGGACCTCGCCGTCTTCGGTGCTCTGCTGCTCCTGCAGTCGCTCACCTCATACAGCCTCTTCGTCATCTACCGCGGCTACGAGGGCTGGGGTCAGACCAAGGGCGTCGACAGGGCCTGGATCGTCCTCGGCGGCGTGCAGTCTGTCGTCTCGGTCGTGCTCATTGGGAGCTTCTTCCGCCTCGTGTTTGCGCGCTGGAGGAACCGCATCGAGTAGGGCTCGCGGCGACGCCGAACGGACACCACGAAGGAGCTCTGACCCTTTTTCTTTCTTGTTCTTTTCTCTTTCCATACGCGAGGGCGGTAGCGTCAACCTCGGTCGGAGAGCAGCCGGAGGCCAGACGGGAAGATTAATATGTGGTGGCAGGAGGATGCGGTTATGCTCCGGAGACGCATGAGCGTCGCTTGGTCTTTCTATTTCTTCGTATACCCTTTTCCTCGGTCGCGTTACTAGGTTCTGTGCTGCAAGCTGATCATGGGCAGCGATGGGATGCACGTTGACAGGCGCGTTTCTACTCTGACTGTTCTTGAGTGCCAAGGTATCGCCATACACTCTTATCAAATTTCTTCAAAGGTCAATCTTTGTCAGACACCTTCTTCATACAGGTCGCTTCATATTATGGGGCCCTTCCCCCGAACCATATATACATCACATGGCCGTGTATCTATGCAACATGTTCTTCAACGAAAATAGTAACAAGCCTCTGTTGAGTGGCATTGGTGCCTCAGAAGCGTTCAAGCCTACCCAGAACATTTCTTTCGTCGCCGTCAGTCCTTGAACGAGCCTAGAGCCTTCTGATTGCTAATAAGATAAGGACCGCGTCAGCTTTTCAAGGCAACCCAGTAGTGGCTCAGAAGAGCACGATGCTTATGAATGCAGACGGATATGTCACGTGTACGAGTCCGATTCAGTACCTCGGTCGTCTCAGCGGTCCTCGCTGTCCACGTCACGGCTCTTCCCGCGGTGTCAGATGCAACACTGTCGCAACACGACCACGAAATCATGCTCAAAGAATGGGATAGACGATGGCGTACGAGAGCGCATAGGATGTTCGCCCTGCGGCGCCGACAAGACTCTGCTTGGGACAAGAAACTTTTGTCCCTACTATCAGCAGACACCATACCATCAGATAGATTCTACAGTTGAGCTTTACGGCAGAGGACCGGAAACTTCCGCTTCACGCGCCATGCCGTCTTCGTCGACGGGCTGATGCGGAGAATCTCACTGTTTTAGCTGTGGATACGCCCCAGAGCAGGACAAGAACGTCGATGAGCGCTCCAACAAGATGAGGAGGAAGTCTCCGCGGCTCAAAGTATTCACCTAGATCGAAATAAAGCTCGACACAGGGCCGGATCGTCACCGTTTGCTGAGCATGCCCAAGCTACAAATACTCGCGGGTCAAATTGATTGGCCGACGTCATGGCTGTCATCAGGTTGCATTAGCGCCGTGAGTTCAGCGACATGCTATAAACGCCATCGGAGGGGTAGCGCTTTGTGAACCTGGGTGGAGAAGGGGTTATGACCGGAGTTAAGGAGTTTCAATGTCATCAAGTCGCTTTGGTGGCATCAAGTTGCAATGGGAAGCATTCAGGACACATTGATGGCAGGTATAAAGATGGTCACTTTTGGAATTCGAGTTGCTTCATAGCCACAGGAATCCTCCCTCAGAGTCTACCCACTACACTCCCATACCCACCTCAAAAATGTCCTTCTTCGCTTCACCCCCCAAACCCAAGACTCCCCTTGGCTGGCATCGCCCCTTGAGCCCTACAGCCGGCGTCAAGGTCAGCCCGATCGCCCTGGGCGGCATCTCCATCGGAAACTCATGGAGCGAGCTCTTTGGCACGAGCACCGACGCGTTTGGCCTTCTCGACGCCTTCTACGATCTCGGCGGCAACTTCATCGACACGGCAAGCAACTACAATGGAGAGGAGTCGGAGCAGCTTATTGGTGAATGGATGGAGAAGCGTGGCGTGCGCGACCAGATGGTCATCGCGACCAAGTTTGCGTCCGGATACCGGTACCACAACCGCGAGGGCGAGCCGATACAGAGCAACTTTACCGGCGCATCGGCCAAGAGCATGCACCTCTCGGTCAAGGCCAGCCTGAAGAAGCTGCGGACTGACTACATTGACGTGCTGTACTTGCACTGGTGGGACTTTTCGACGTCGGTCGAGGAGGTCATGACGCACCTGCACGCCCTCGTCATGGCGAGGCAGGTGCTGTATCTGGGCGTATCGGACACGCCGGCGTGGATCGTGGTCAAGGCCAACGAGTTTGCGCGCCGCAACGGGCTGACGCCCTTCTCCGTGTACCAGGGCCGCTGGAATGCGGCGTTCCGCGACATGGAGGCCGAGATCATCCCCATGTGCGAAGACCAGGGCATGGGCATCGTGTCCTGGGCGTCGCTGGGCGGCGGACAGCTGACGACGGCGGCACAGCGCCAGGCCATGGCCGACGACGACAAGGCGCCCAAGGGCTACGGCCCCAACAGCTTCGACGTGCCCGTGTCCGAAGTCATCGAGCGCTTGGCCCGGGAGAAGAACGTCACCTTCCAGCAGGTCGCGCTGGCGTACCTCTTCCACCAGTCGACCTATGTTTTCCCCATTGTGGGCGTGCAGTCGGTCGAGCATATCAAGGCCATCCCTGCCGCGATCGAGGTCGAGCTGTCCAAGGAGGATATCGGGGACTTGCACGCTGCCGCGGCCTTTAACCCGCTGTTCCCGAACACGTTCCTCTTTGACAAGGATCCTTACAGCACCAAGCTCACTTTTGCCCACCAAACTCATTTGCAGATGACGACTTGGTTGGATGCACCCTCCAAGGATGATGTACGTTATGCTTCCCCTTCGAGCATGAGATTGTTGCTGACCAGATAGAAATTCGTGGCAAGGCATCGATGAGTACCGACCGGCTGTAGTTGTGGGGCTTGAATGAGGCAAATAGCAGGCTTGGAATTCGATGGCATGACCTTTGGATATAGAAACGCCGTGATGTTCATAATTTGATCAATATTTCGTATCAAAACTGATGCCCCTGGCTGGCCCTCGGCACGTACCGACAGACATGGACCGACGCTACTGCAACACCGATTGCTGTGACGGGCATGCCGTAGCGCGCCAAACCCCGCATGAATCGCTCACTAACTCCGTACGAAGCGCTGAGCGATGCGAATGTGGGATAGGATGGTCTTCCATGGGCATCCCCGGACCCTTTCCTTCTTGTCACTCATACCTAGCAATCTACAACGATGGCCGCAAACACGAGCTCAGCAACGCCATCCAGCGATGAAGGCCTCTTCATGATCGACGCAAGGGCGCCTGGCGTGATCCCAATTCTGCCCCAGCGGAATCACCTCTGCAACGTCGAAGAGGACTGGTCAGGCGTCACGGCACAAGCCAAGCGCCGCCGCCTTCAGAACCGCATCAACCAGCGCGCACGGCGACAGAAGCTCAAGGAGGAGACGAAGAAGCAGGCGACCGCCCAGCCTCCAAGTCTCGACAGCGACATGCAGGAAATCCCTCGCAACGCCGTTAGAACACTACGCAAAACGTTACCGGCCCCAGCCTGCATGTTGGGCAAGGCGGAGAACCGCGAAATGCTCACGAGGTTCGCCGAGCTTGCACGCAACAACTTCCTCGGAGCGCCCAACATGATCCACCTCGAGGACACGGTGCGATGCAACGTCTTCCTGGCCATGGCGCGCGTCACGACGATTCTCGGTTTCGACGACAGCTGGCTTGACGACGACTCCATCTCGCCGTACAACATGCAAGGGCCGCGGACGTGGTCGCTGGACGCAGTGCCCGCGAATCTGTGGCCGACGGTGCTGCAGCTGGCGGTGGAACACCACCCCTGGATTGATCTGTTTCCCTGCCCGCGGATGCGCGATAATTTCCTGCGGACGATACAAGCCCACGGCGAGGATGCGGCCGAGGAGGACGAACTGTGTCGGGACTATGTGGATGCAGCAGGAGCTAAGAGGGGGTTGGAGGATGGTGCGTCTGCCATTGTGTGGTCCGATCCGTGGTCGCCCCATGGGTGGGAGCTTACGGCGGGCTTTGTGAAGAAGTGGGCGTGGTTGCTATACGGGTGTGTTGAGCTACAAGCGGGCACGAATGCCTGGAGGACGCGGCGGGGGCTCGAGAGACTGCGATTCCCAGGGTGCTGAGTTATTTGTGAGAGTCGGCCGGTGTATTAGTTATGGGTGCTTAAAAGCTCCTTATTCTGATCTCGCGCTAGCCAAGTGTTGAATATGTCTGAACAAACGAAACGACAAACAATCAGGTTATCTCTATTGTAACTCTAAGATGTATTTCTCTGTCCTCAAGTGATGTTTATCAATGGCCTGTAGCATCTATCTTGTTTGCAAAGTGGTCTAGTTCGATATGTACCTGACAATGCTGAAAACTATAAGCCGACGTCGGCAGTTTCTTCGAAATACCTGTTCTTGTCAACATTGTCATTCAAGTACACAGGTCATGTGGACGTGGAAATCATTACGGCTGACGAGTTTTGTGCTTGACTCTACGTCCAGAACTGAAGCCTCAGAGGTCGCCTTGTAAATTCTCTGGGGTACGACTCATGCCTCAATGATGAAAGGAACAAAAGAATCAAAGATGGGCTGAAGTGCGAACGACTTAGCAGGCTTTTCTCCTGCGTCGCGAACGACGGCTTTCAACAGCAATCTAGCTTTTAAGAGCAGCTGAAAAGACGGCTCCAAAGCGACGTGTTTCCCATAGCTCATGGGTGCGGGCAGTGTCAGGACATGGACTATCAAGTCGTAGCGTCATGGCACGAGCGGCGGCCACATGTGCGATGCCATCGACCACGTTCAAATTTCAGGTTGGAGCAACATGAAAATCATAGACTGGCTCTTACAACCACAGTCCTGGGTGTCTGAGATCATTTTTCTTGGTGGCAGGGAAACTGACTGCCTGTTCACTAGAGGCCTGAGTCAAGGCCCCCAGCGATGAGTTCTCACCATCAAGAAGCTTTGCCTTCGGAGGCGTTGTATGGTGATTACTGTCGCAATACATCCTGGGATTTTGACGTCCAGATGACAAAAAAAGCCGAGCCAAAAAGACGGGTCCCAACCGCCTTGGCGCCGGCACCCGGACTCTCGGCACCGCGGCAGACGTCACCTTTCCAAGCTATTGTCTCGTCAATACAGCCCAATCCCCGGCGCCTCTCCAACCTAAACTGGGGACGCAAAGTGCTTGGCCGTTGCATTCTCAGCAGAACTGTGGGCCTCCGATGTCATTAGCCAAGACTACGCGCGGTCGCTCGACTCAAGGCCCTTCAATCTTGTCAAGCTTGGTATGGCAGGGAAGAAACCAGTATGGCGGGCGGAGAAGTTTAAAGGCAATGGTAACCCTTCACCTACTGGCCGTCTTGGTGGCGCATCTGAACAGGTCCCAACCACTTCCCTCGATATCACCGCGTGGCGTCCCCATAGCATTGGCCACGATTCGATATCGGAAATCGAATCCTTGCCAGCGTGGACTTGAACAGCAACAGTGCAAAAGCATCGATTCTTCGCCCTCAAAATGCTTCGCGGTGACGGTACAGAGAAGGATCCCGGGGCGCACGATCGGGAAGATGCGAATGTGACAACAACCGGCTATGGAGAGACAATTAAACGGGACAGACTTGCCGCACAAGATCGCGATCAAGACACCCTGAATGGGCCGGCCAGTTCCGCCGATGCCGATCTCGAGAGTGGCAAGGACTCCTCACGGAAAGCCGACCAGAAGGACCGCAAGCCATTTTTCAACCGTCCCAAAGAGCCTCTGTCATTCAGCGAGCGCGCCATGCGCGTTACTTGGGCGTGGTTTCCTACAACAATGTCGACGGGCTCCCTGGCCTCTCTCATCAGTGTCCAACCTTATACGTTCCCCGGCTTGACGGCCATTGGCAAAATATTCTTCATCACAACCCTCGTCCTCTTCGTCTGCTTTACCGTTCTTATCGCCATTCGCTTCACCTTCAAGCCCCGAGCGCTGACCACGTCACTCCACCATCCCTCCGAGTCATTCTTCTTCGGGTCATTTTGGGTCTCGATTGCCCTGATTCTGAACGGAGCAACAGTCTACGGCGTCCCGGACTCGGGGCCGTGGCTGGTATCGGCTCTAAGGGTGGTGTTCTGGATATATATGGCGTGTGCTCTTATCGTAGCCGTATTTGAGTATCACGTCATTTTCGAGGTTGAGAAGTTGGCACTCTCGGATGCCGTCCCAGCTTGGATTCTTCCCGCATACCCCTTTCTCATCTCTGGGACCCTGGCCGCAAATATTGCCGAGACACAGGACCAAAACAGCGCCGTGCAAATCATCGTCGCAGGTATAATGGGCCAGGGCCTCGGCTGGATTCTCGCCATCTTCATCTACGTCGTCTATCTCACTCGCCTCATCGCGAACAACATGCCTCCACCATCGACTCGGCCAGGCATGTACGTCTCCGTCGGCCCTGCGGCGTACACTTGCAGCGGGCTCATCGGCCTTGGAAAGCAAGCGCAGGCTGCTCTGCCCGACGGCTTTCTGGGTGTCACGAATATCGATGTCGGTGACGTGTGGCGGTCCTGCTCTGTCGCTGCGGCGATGTTTGTCTGGCTTGTCGCCCTATGGTTCTCCGCACTTACATCCGTATCTATTATTCGCGTTGTCCGTCGAATGAACTTCACATTGCAGTGGTGGGCCTTTGTTTTTCCGAATGCTGGCCTCGCCATCGCGTCCATTCAGTTGGGCGATTCTCTCGAGAGCACTGGTCTCCGTGCATTTGGTTCGGCATTGACTGTCGTGCTGGTTGCTCTTTGGCTGCTTTGCGCCTTCTGCCATATCAGAGCTCTGTGGAACCGGGACTTGCTTGCAGTAGGGAAGGACCTGGGCGTTGAGGAGGTCAACCGAAGGCATGACGAGAAGAAGCTTGCTGGAAGGTGGACTGAGGGCGAGGTCAGGCCACCAAGGTCAGAAGGCCCTTGATTTTCGTTATTCATATTGAAGTATCCCTCAATACGTGTTGTGTTTCAAAGCCTTGCCGCCACAAATTTATGGAAATTCAAGTCATACGCAAGCAAATTCCCTAACCGTTCACCTGTTTCTGCGTTATAGTTGTCCCCTTCAGGAGATCTGCGCAGGGGATGTATGCATGCATGACAGAAGCATGTTACTCACACTTGCTAGTCGTCCGAATGAATACCAATCGTAGACTTCATATTTCACTGAAAGAGTGCATCAGAGTCGTCGTAATTAGAATTGTTTATCCACTCGCGCTGTCGGATCGCTTGTTCAGCAACGGGAATCTGGCGGGGACGGTGACTGACCTTTGACTCCATCCTCAATTTCAGTCTCTCAATCAAAGCACTCTAAAGCAGAACGAATAAAAGGTCTGACTTAGAATTTCTTTCCACTGGCTAGACAGGCCATCTACTTTACTTTGCTACCGTACTACTCCCATTCGAGAATGATGCTGTCCCAAAGGAATCCCCTCCACTTAGTGTAACGCGTCACACTGAAGCCCACCTTGTTCACACCTTCGACCAGAACACCCGGTTCAACTCTGTATTGAATGAACCGCCACTCTCCAGATGTCTTTCCAGAACGGTAAAGCGCCGGATCGCTAGTGAGGTTGTCCTTGCTCAAGGTACCGTAGTCCTGGCCATTCACATCGACGTTGAGCGCTCCGCTCTGAGAGTAACCAGCCAGAGACACACTCAGTATCGCTGTCTTGTTGGTCGCGATATCCGCAGCCGAGACTTCAAACTCGATGGTCCACTTTCCAATGGCCGATGAAGCATAGTACCAGTCCGAAGTCTTTGACTTGCCAACGACGAATGTAAGGTTGGCAGGACTGTCCTCAGTGACGCCGTGCTGGTAAGGCAGGCCCCCGTTTTTGAAGCCAAGGGCCTTCTTATCAAATTCGCCGACTTGGAAGATTCGCTTCGCGCGATCCGCCACGTTCCATTTCTGGCGACCGAGGATGAGGGTCTTGTCCTTAGTTACGGTAATGCCAGACTTTGTAAAGTTGGTGTACACGTCGGCCAGTCTGTTACCATTCGAGTACGCAATAAGGCCATAGGAGCCAGTGCGTACGTCATCAAAGGAGAAGCGTCCCTTATCGTTGGTGTAAGTCGTGTAGTAGTAGTTGGTCCCTTGGATCGAGGGACGGATTGACGTGTCACTGTCACCGAGGAAGACGGCAGCCTTCGATGCGGGGCGGCCGTCGGACAGTAGCAGAGTACCCTCGATGCCGCCCCTCTGGTGGTAGGCGGCATCGTCAAGCCATTTGTAGGGGAAGTGCTTCAGCTCCTTGGCACGCTTCTTCTGGACATCTGGGATGCTTCCGTTGTTCTGACCCAGTCAATTTGAGTTAACCGAGAGTGGTGTGTCGGATCACTCACCAGGTACCAAAGCCAGGGACCCCAGACCTTACCCACGGGCTGAGTTGTCTTTTGACCGACACGGAAATGCGACGTATCTTGCACGACGTTCAGCTGAACAGCATCGCCGGTCTTGCTCTCGCGATGCACGGTGAGTGTCTGGCTGAGATGGTCACTGTTGTAGTATTCGGTGGAAGGGTGAATCCACCAAGAACCAACACGAGATCCGTAGACACCATAGAAGTCGCGGTCTCTGACGGCGTTGGACCAGTCGTACTTGGTGATGTATGACCCGTCTGCAAGCTGCCAGGTCTCATCCTGGACATTGGTCGACTTTGCATACAGATCGAAATCCGGCAAGGGCTCATCCTTGAGATGAGTGCGGCCATGGGTGAAGTACTCCGGCGCCAGCCGCCAGAGTGTTCGCAAAATGCTGATGTTCGGCAGGGCACGGTTGACAAAATACTGGTACGCGCCGGAGAGGTCGTCAAAGATGACCCAGTGAAGATCTCCAGCGGGCGCAGTGAAGCTGACGTCGATGAAGTGTGTACCACGTGCAGCAATCGTCGCGTTGGTGTAACGGAGGTTGGATTCCCCGTCTGTCGACTGCCCTGTTAGCTCCGGCTTAGGCACTTGGTGGCCAAGAAAATAATTACATACCATAACCAGTGTAGTGGCCTACGGCGGAACCGACAAGATCTGCGCCAGGGACACCCTGCCAGAAGAGCTTTGTCGCGTAGACCGGACCTTGTGTAACATTCCAGAAATCGTTACCAATACCCCAAGTGCCGTCGTTCAAGGACTCCAGGAATGGACCCTTGCCTGCAACGGCGGCAAGGGATCCGGCCAGCGCCCACAGGGAAAGCTTCGAGGTGTACATCGTTCTACAGAACTTGATCACTGTGATTGAGCCTGTTCGACGCCTCTTGGGATAGTCTACGAGCCAAGATCCGATCCTTTATACCCATATCAGGAGCTGCCGAAGGCGATGGCGTTTGTTGTCTGCTCGGTGTACGATGTCGCGAGGACTTCCCAGAGTGCCGAGAACCGGGAATGGCATCATAGGGCGAAGACCTGGTTGGCTGCTCTAGCCTTTAGCCCAACGCAATGATTGCACATCCTGCATCAACTGCGAATTGCCGCTTTTCGAGCAGGGATTCAATCGGAATTCCAGTGCATTGCGCCATATCAGTGGAGAGAGGGGGCCCCCAAAAAATATTGCGTGCGGTCTGCTATCAGTGCCTGCGATGGCGTCAGGATACCCTCGTGAAGTCCCAACCGAGGTACGCAATCAAAGGACGCGCATTCGCGCAAGTTCGGAGATAGATGGCTGATGATGTTATTTTGGCGGAAGTGCGCTTTTGATATCTGTTCAATCCCCTCTACATAATGACCAATGCTAGAGGCATTTCTTATCGTGTCTGCTAGAAAGCGACGGCGCCTCTCCTATTACGAGTTGCAAGAGGTGTCGCTAGAAGCCTTACGAAGTTTCAAGATGTGCATGTTGGTTTTATGAACTGTCAATTCAATCCTCATGGTTCCTTTTCCCTCCAATTTATTCGCTATTCGTCTCAGAACGAAGGCCAGAACGAGACAGACTCTCCTTCGAACACAAACACAGTCATGTTCTTAGAGGTGAAATATGAACAGATGATGCCAAGTCGGAATCTTGTTCAGCTATTGGCCAAAAGCTTGAGGCTCTTAGGGCTGTCAGCTCGTGCAACACAACAGCTGAAGTGCCGTGGGCGGCAGTGGGCGGCACATGGTCAGGAAGCTTGCTGGTGATTGGATGAAGATCAGATGTATGACAATCCACAAGTCTAGTGAGTTTGCTGGCCGGACTTGTGATCCGAGAAAGGGCCAAAGTTGTTGGCTGTAAGCGAGCCAATCGAGCTGTCAGATGGCGTGGAAGCAAGCCGTAAGTAGGTAAGAATGACCCTTTCCAACTAGCTTAGAGGCTCAAGTCGTTATAATGATACAATTGCTGCAAATAATCGAAGTACGCAGCCTGGGATGAGCTACCACTCGTGTTTTCAATACTTCGTATGACGCCCAGTCAAATAATTCAAAAGCAGCACCATGCATGTGTCATGAGGGCTGCTGGGTACAATGGTTGAAAGTATATTGCCTCAGCTTTCTATGCGCAAAGTCTGAAAACAGGAATCGAAAGCCTCGTTATTCTGTACTGTAGAACCTTCAGACTTCAAATAGGCTACGTATCGTACCATGCCTCGCTAGTGCGGCTTGGCGCCGATGCATGAGTAGGCAACGGCCTCGAGTGGCACCGTGATGAAAAGAAACCCGGGGAGATTTATCAATCAAGACAAGAAGTCCGGGGCCGTTACTTCTTGATGTAGGTGCCAACGATGAAGCGGAAGGTGACGGTCCGAACCGCGGGGATTATGGCGCCGCTGCCAGTGCATAGCCTCCACCTGCAGATCTACCTGACAAGGACCGTTGAAAAGCCACCACATCGCTATATCCTGGACGATGGACGTTCAGCTTCCGAGAAAATGTGCATTTATAAGTGATGAACGTCCTGTTCCCCCTTGGCTTTTTTCCGATCCTCGGTACCAGACTTTAGAATCTCTGTTCCAATCAACTGACAAGCCTGGGCTGATCAATTCGCCTCGCCACGATGCTTTCACGCGTGTACATGCTTTTCCTCGCCTTCTGCCAGCTCTGTCTGGCAGCGGAGATCGTTCCTCGAGCGACTTTCTCCGAGGTGACTGGCTTCGGTGCCAACCCGACGAATACCAAGATGTACCTATGGGTCCCCAACAACCTTGCGCCCAACCCCGCCATCGTCGTCGGAATTCACTGGTGCTCAGGCAATGCGCAGGCCTACTATCAAGGCTCCAACTGGGCTCGTCTCTCTGAGACTTATGGCTATATCGTCATCTACCCGAGCACCGCATACACTGCAAGCAACTGCTGGGATGTCTCGTCGCAGAAGACGCTGACTCGAGGAGCTGGCGGTAACAGTGACTCGATCGCCAACATGGTCAAGTACGTCACCGCTCAATATGGTGCTGACGCCAGCCGAGTGTTTGTGACTGGCATTTCGTCCGGAGCTATGATGACGGTGAGTTCTCCGCCAGCCACCCTGATTAACGGGTAGATTTCGTGAGCTGTTCCCTGTGAAATTATTGAACGCTGATCATATGAAGAACGTTATGGCTGCCACATACCCCGACCTTTTCCAGGCTGGTATTGCTTATGCTGGCGTCCCCGCCGGCTGCTTCTCTTACGGCACCACCGAAGCGGGCTGGAACAGCACTTGTGCGAACGGCCAGTCCATCACAACTCCGGAGCACTGGGCCGCCATCGCTCGTGCTATGGCGCCTGGTTACACTGGCCGTCGCCCGCGCATGCAGGTTTATCACGGTGACCAGGACGCGGTGGTGTTTCCCCAGAACTACTACGAGACCATCAAGCAGTGGGCTGGTATCTTTGGATACTCGACAACCCCCCAACAGACTATTTCTAACTTCCCGCGGAGCCCCTACAATAAATACGTCTTCGGTCCCAACCTGGAGGTATACCTCCCTGTACTCGACAATCATCACTTTCGGATACAAGCTGACAGGAAGCATAGGGAATCCTTGGTGTCGGTGTCAGCCACAGCATTGATGTGTTTTTCGATGAGGATCTGAAATGGTTTGGTTTCACGGTAGGTTTGGCCCGTCTCAAGTGATCCTCAGTCACTCATAGCAGCCTCAAGACCCCCGCGACATCGACAGCAGGCCCTACAAGCACAACGAGGTCGACGACCACGTCGACAGTGGCCCCACCAGTGCCGACCACCATTGCCACCCTCACTACCGCCGTCACGACGACAGCTCGGCCGACCACTACGGCCTCCGGGCAAGCACCTCAAAAGCGCTGTAAGCAACCTCACTCCCTGTCCCGGGTGTCTGTTGGAGTAGAAATGCTGACAGTTTTACTACCACACAGGGGGCCAGTGCGGTGGCCAGAACTGGAGCGGCCCAACAGTTGTAAGTATTCTCTTGATGTTGCTGTTTGCGATTGGTGACAGCGTGGCTAATTCATGAACAGTGCGAAAGCCCTTGGACTTGCCAGGTCCAGAACAACTGTAAGATTATTCGATGGCTGAGGTTGACTCGTTTGCTGATTACTTGTGTGATTTTAGGGTTCCACCAGTGCCTTTAAAGATATCCATAGTGACATATCAAAGCGACGATCTATTGTAATGGATATGTCCTAGGCCACTACTACTTAGGTTATCGTTAAACACTCTAAAGGTCACAAAACCTTCTGATATGGCATCAAGTACCGATAGTCTTACACCAGTCATGTTGAAAAAACGAGACTAGATTTAGTTTTCTCCAGTCTAGAATGAAAAGTCTACCGAGGGCCATCCCGTGCCGAAGAATTCATCGTTGCTGTCCAGCCCACCGGCCAAAAAGTCGTCGAGCCACCCGGTCTTGGTAAGGGGGGAAGAGAAAAAGGTCAGACCCGGGAAGTCCCACTCAAAGACGAACTGCTCTGGAACAAAAGACTCGAGCTCTGTCTGCCCGTCGGCTCGGCTTTGCTCCATTTGTATAGTGGCCGGGAGCGAAGGCTCCCCTGTTCGTGGACCACCGTCCTTTCGCAGAGCGTGATGATACTTCTCGATGCTGGCTTGAACGAGCTGCAGGTACAGGCTGCTCGCACTTGCCTTGCTCCCTTCACCACGGCCACCATTGGCATTCCTTAGTTCGCCTAGAAGGATTCTCCCCTTTTCAACCAAATCCTGACTTGATTGTTGATCTCCATCATCGGGGAGCAAGAGAGACAACTTCAGTAGCAAGAGAAAGCAGAAAGCATTCTTCGCCCAGACGAAATCCATTGCAAAACGCAGCCCGGAGAGGTAGTGGCGGGGCTCCATCAGGATGACTTCGAGATGCTGCTTGAGCGAAGCCTTCGCCATCAGAAGAATCGTTTTCTGGGTTTGAGACATGGCGCGCACATTCTCGACCCCTGATGCGCGGACAGCGCGGCAGAGTGCCATACTATCGGCCCAGTGACGCTGAACGATGAGGTTTGGCTGAAGCCAGGGCATCTGGGGCCTACGCTGCTCATAGATGCGCGTCCAATCATTGAACCAAACCTCAATATCAATCTTGGCATCTCGCACCATCTCCATGATATCTTCTTCGTCGGCGTCGGCGCATTGCGAGAGACTGTTGTATATATTTGCCCGGAGGGCGTTGAGCTCCACTTGTGAAAACAAATAGAGATCCATGTCGTTTGAGCAGGGGCTTTCCAACAGGATCCTGGACCTTCGAGCAGCACCTCGGAACCGGAACGCCGGGAGATCACCAGCATCAACATGGAGAATGTGGCCCATGACTAACAGGTGGAGCCACGTCCGGGCCTTACGCATAAGAACAACATCGGCCTGCGATGGATCGTCAATCGTGTCCATACGCGGGGTGTTCTTGGCTACGCAGTGAGCGCTCATCGCGTCGTAGGCTTCAGGCAGGCCCACTTCGAAGGCCATGCGCGTCGCGATGGCGATTAACAGAGAGCGCTCGTTCACATAGCAGGCTCGGACAAGGAGTGCTTGTATCGTTTCTGGTGTGGCCTCTGTTGGTGTGGTGATCGCAGCGTTCAGCATTCGTTGGGTCTGAAAACTGAGGACATGCCATTGACGCGAGTCTGCTCCATTGATCACTCGGCAGCCTACGGAGCAGATGGCACCGAACAACAGACTGCTTCGAGAACGAATGGATTCCATCGAGTCGAATCGGGGATCAAACACAGGGACGAACCGGTCGCATCCAGAGAAGAAGGCTGCCCAATATGAAGTGGCATCCTGGTCCGTAAGTAGGCCTGCTTCAACCAAGTCGGGTATAGCGACCGCGCCCATCTCGAAATGTGTGCGCTTTCTCTTATGCCCCTGCGTTAGAGGCGGTTGTAAGAGCGACACATTGGGGGATCCAGAGCTTGAACCTGTTGGTTGACGCGGTAAACTTCTCAGGGTTGGGGGATTAATAACGGTTGCGGGAGACGTGTGCGTGCTGATGGGATTCTCGGGACCTCTGACCTGATCTGGCGATCGATACTGGATGGGCATCTGCGTAGCCGAGGGGGAGGACTGAGATGCTGGAATGGCTTGCCATATGCCCGCTTCCGGTCGTTTCTCGAGTCTTTCCTTCAACGACCCGATCTCCCTCTCCAGGTCTTCGATCCTTCTACTCGGAAATGCCCCTGTCAGCTCGCTTCTCCATTTCCAACAGCATTTTGTCCGGCGACAATATGATCTCAACGTACATTTCGTTCGCGTCCTTTGGCCGCTCAGTGAACGTACAGACCTTTCGAAGGCTGTGGCATCTGTCACATTCGTCAGCCAGTCAGAAAGAGATGATCGAGTTGGGATGGTCCGAACCGTGAGCAGGGGCGTTGCCCATCGCATTTCACCTTATATTCAATTAGTAAAACTTTCGAAGAATCAATACGGAATCGTACCTTGGATTGGCGACATGCACCGCAGGCTTTCTATGAAGACCCATGTCAGTTCGCTCCACCATCCTGATGTCGTGCTCCAAAGCCTACGCTCGTGGAGTATGGCTCAACAGTCGCGAGAGCCTTACCGGAATGCGCTTCTTTCTAGGCCGTCGAGATGATTCCCCATCTGTGAGCTCATCAGCTTCCATGGTGGCCGGCGCGGCGCCATGGAGACAGCACTGTGGTATGTGGTGTCTGGATGAGGATGGAAATTCTCAGCCCAGCGGACAAGACCGAACCGAACCAGGTTACCCCGCGTCGCGGTCGATGATGTGGGTCCTGGCTCCAGCACCTGGAGGCTGGAGATGGAGAATTGTACCCCTAGAATACAGTGACAAAGGCGGTTGAGCGGCCATGTTCTTCAGTGCCCATGTCAGGGAGAGCTCAAGGAACGCTGACCGCCGTCGCATTGGCGAGCGGGCCAGCAAGGTAGCTTGTCCAAATCGCCGGGCATCATCTCCTGGCCGACGTTCCCTCGTTTCTGCCGATGCCAAATGGAGACTGTCAAGAGGAACAAGTCGATCTGACAGCGAAGAGCACTGAAATGCATGCCACCGCTACCCATCAAGATAAGCCAACTCATCGTCATCGCGCCGCCTTGCCGTTCCCCCACCGGGCCGCCATATTACCCCACGTTCGACACCGAATCCTCTCCTGGCGGAAAATGAACCGATTCATCTCGATTGCATCACTCAATCATGTACGACAACACCAGGACTGGGCCAACTCTTTGGCAGCTTTGAGCTTTGAGCTGCCATGTTTGAGACGCAGGTCCAATTTTTTTTGGCTTTATCAGACTCTCTTCCTCAAACAAACATCCTTCCATTCGCACTCCAATCCAGCATCTGACCACTCAACACCTGACAGCATACTAGCCTTGCTGCCTCGTCCGCTTGCTTCGCTTTCTTCTCCATTCTTGTTCAATTCGAAAGCGGTTGGCTGTCGTAACAGGCACAAAATGTCTTCGCCTTGCGAAGACGCCACCACAGACGAGCCTTCGTATGAGAATGGGAGCTGGTCCATGGGAGATGACGGCTTCGACCTTGGTGTCCGTATGAATGGTAAGCGATTCAGGATCGCCGTATGGGCGGACTACTTCAAGGACTCCCCCTCAGCCACCGCAGCCTTTCAAAAGGCCCTCGCCATCATGAATGACGGCGACGATAGCTGTGAGGAGCTCTGGGACTACCTCGAGTGGATCGTGGACTTTTTCTTGCCCCAGTTTCAAAGCCTCGCGCCTCCGGTAGTGCACGCTGGAATCTTAACACTAGCCCACCTTGCCGTCCGGGAATCCTTCGAATGCGAGTTCCATGTGATCCAAGAGAAGCCGGTTCCTGGCCTTGTTACTCGACTGGTAGAAGAGGACTTTGAAGAATTCGATGCCCGTACTTTGCAGACATCCTTTCCTATTGTCGGCCTTGCCGACGTCGAGGTACCCTACGATGACCCCGCCGGTATTTTCAGCATCATACCGCAACGTGTGCTTGTCCACGGGCAGTTCTTCTTTTACAAGTCGTCCGTGTCGACCGAAGCTACCCGAAACGAAATCGGAAAATACGACAAGATCGCCGCCTCCGGCCCCTCCTCTTCTGAACTCCCTACTTCACGGCTGTACGCCATTGTAGTTGGCTCTAAGGGCAGGCTGCGTGGCCTGATTTACCACTTCATCAAGTCGGAAGAGAGGCTTACGTGGGCTGTTGACGAGCGTGCTCCCCTTGCTCTTCGGGAGAAATGGGCGGCGCAGATTAAGGACACCGTGGCCAAGCTGCATCATCTGGGTGTCGTCTGGGGCGACGTCAAGGCCGACAATGTCTCGTCGACGAGAACAGTAATGCCATAGTCATTGACTTGGAGGGCGACACCACACAAGGCTGGGTTGGCCGAGGGAAGGAAGGCACTGTTGAAGGAGACGCACAGGGAATAGAGAATATGATGGACTTCATCTTTAATGATGAATCGACGCTCCCTCCCCCGCCTTTGGGGCCGGACGATGAGCCTATTGTCAAGCTCAGAGGTTATTGATGGGATGGCTGCTTGATGGCAAGAGTAAGAATCGGGTACCTAGCAATAACAAAAGCAGACCTCGACAACCCTGCGATGCATGTTCACCTATAGTCATTTAGCAGGGTGCCTTATCAACTGGGATCGGAGAAAAGTAGCAAAAGCCGATCAGCTCCACACGGCGGTCCGAACTCTGTCGGAGAAAAATGCCGAAATGCGACTCCTTTCTGGGATCCTGAGGGGATGTCTGACGCTACGCGCGGGGTCAAGTTGGGGTTCAGCATGGCACGGGTGTACATATTGAACGATCAATGGCTTACCATGTCACAAATCGCTTCGGCGCTGCCGGCGTAGCAGAAACCGAGTCGTGTTCAAAAGGCAGGCTTGCGCCCTCTCTTTTTCCTGTTGAAGTAGAACCGATTCTCTTTACGGCCTCTGCTTTTCGTACTCGAGAGACCAGTAGAAGCCACAGCACCACCATGCCCCAGAACGAACTCATCCCCTCTTCTTGGACGGTCGAGGCCTCGACAGAATCGGATGACTCTCCTTCTATTCGGTTGACCTCATCCAGCAATGGCGCTCCGTTCAACTTCAGCTTCGAGGCTGTCCGACCGGACGTCTTCAGGACCACATATACCTCCGAGAGCCACCCATTGCCTCCTCACCCAAGCATACTCCGCCCTGAGACCAAACTTGGGGAGAAGAAAGCCTCGATTCAGTCGACTGAAAAGAGCAAGACAATAAGCATCGGAAATGTCTCCGCAACAGTTAATTATTCTGGCGAGACCCCTCATTTGGCCATCAACTTTGACGGCCAGGAAGAACCCCTTCTCCAGGACGTGCCAAACCGTTCCTACACAGCCGATGGACCTGGGATTGCTCATTACACTCGCTACAACCGTGGAACTCTCCACGTCGGCCTGGGCGAGAAGGCTGCGCCCATGAATCTGTCAGGTCGCCGCTTCCAGCTCTCCGCGACCGACAGCTTTGGTTATGACGTCCACCGAACCGACCCTTTGTACAAAAACATTCCTCTCCTCATCAATGCTACTCCCAAAGGCTGTGTTGCTACCTTCTCATCAACGCATGCTCGCGGAGAGTACTCTGTCGGCTCTGAAATGGACGGCATGTGGGGGTTCTACAAGGTCTACCGCCAAGACTTCGGCGGCTTGGAGGAATACGTGATAGTCGGCAACACGCTGAAGGACATCGTCTCGACATATGCCAGCCTCGCAGGATATCCTCTGCTAGTCCCTCGTTGGGCCTTTGGCTATCTATCTGGCGGCATGAAGTACTCTATGCTGGATGACCCACCTGCAAGCGAGTCGCTCCTGGAACTCGCCCGCAAGATGAAGGAACACGACATTCCATGCTCCGCTTACCAGATGTCCTCTGGGTACACCGTGGCTGAGAGGGAACCCAAGACGCGTAATGTCTTCACTTGGAACCGCCATCGGTTCCCGGATCCTGAAGGTTGGATCAAGGAGTACCACAAGATGGGCATGCGTCTGATCGCTAACGTCAAGCCGTACCTCATCGCCAGTCACCCCGAATATCAGAAACTCAAGGCTGCTGGCGGACTCTTCACTGATCCTCGCACCAAACAGCCTGCTGTAACCAAGCTGTGGAGTGCCGGTGGTGGTGAGAGTGACGATGGTGGCCACATTGACTTCACTTCCGAAGCAGGTTTCAACTGGTGGTACGAGGGTGTCAAGACTCTAGCGCAACAGGGTATCGACTGCATGTGGAATGACAATAACGAGTACACAGTCACGGATGACAACTGGGAATGTGCGCTGGACCAGAAATCTATGCAAGTTCCTCCTGGTCTTGACAAGAGGCCCCAGATCGGCCTCTGGGGCCGCAGCCTGCACACCGAACTCCACGGGAAGGCTTCGCACGACGCTTTGCTTGAAGTCAACCCCGACGAACGTCCTTTCGTCCTTACCCGAAGCGCTACGGCGGGGACGATGCGTTACGCCTGCAGCACCTGGAGTGGAGACAACACGACCAGCTGGCCCGGCATGAAGGGCGCCAATGCGCTATCCCTAAACGCTGGTCTCAGTCTACTGCACTGTTATGGCCACGACATTGGCGGGTTCGAAGGGCCTCAGCCGTCACCGGAACTGCTCCTTCGCTGGGTGCAGCTCGGCATCTACTCTCCTCGCTTTGCCATTAACTGCTTCAAGACAGGGACCGACAACAGTGTCGGTGATGTAATCGAGCCCTGGATGTACCCTTCTATCACGCACCTCGTGCGCAAGACTATCAAGAGGCGTTATGCCCTGATTCCTTACATCTACTCCCTGGCACTGGAGAGCCATGTGAGCGCAACACCTCCTCAGCGTTGGACGGGCTGGGGCTACGAATCTGACCCGGAGGTGTGGACTAACTCTGTGCTCACCGACGGAGAGACGCAATACTTCCTTGGAGACTCGCTCCTGATCGGCGGCGTGTACGAGTCCGGCGTCAGCAAGGCGCGAGTTTACCTCCCCAAGGGTTCGGAGGAAGACGAAGGGTTCTTGAATCTCAATGCGCCTTATCAATACTTCGCGGCAGGCCAGTGGGTTGACGTCGATGCAGAATGGCACGGCTCCGGCATCGCCGTACTGGGCAAAGTCGGCGGCGCCATCCCGGTTGGTCGTGATGTCCAGGTTCTTTCGCCTGGTGAAAAGGAGAACGTTGCCAACCTTCCCCTCGATGATTATCGGGCTGTCGAGATTTTGCCACCGCAACACGAGTCCAAGGACGGCAAGTGGCACGAGACAACGTGGTTTGAGGACAATGGCGTGTCAGTCGTAACCAAGAACAAGATCTCATCGTACACCATTGCCTATTCCGCGGCTGCCAATGAGATCAAGGTGAAGTTTACTAGAGATGAGTCGTCTGGGTTTGAGGCTCCCTGGCAATCTTTGGTTGTCATTTTGCCGTCCGGCGATCAGAGGACATTGGTGAGCTCAGATGGCAAGGACGTCAAAGCGCTGGGCGTGGATGATCAAGGCCGCCACAAGTTCGAGCTAAGCTGAAAGTACAGTCTAGTGGAGCATATCCAATGAATTATCAATAAGTACCCTTTGTTTTGATGTTTGAAGTTTCGTCTCACTGAACTGGGAGGAATGCAGTAGATGGTCAAAAGCCCGGACTGGGTCAGGGAAAGTAACATGGTAAATTCATACTGCTATCGCTGTGAACTTTGATCTGACTTCCCTTTCATAAGGAATGATAAAGCACTTGAGTTTTGTGTAGCACGGCACTTACAAGGTCTATTTATCTTTGTGGGATCACCATAGCGCTGAAAGAGCATGGATCAGAACAGCTAAGCAAAGCCGGATGAAAGCCTCTCGATACTGCTATAGATGTAGTGTGATGGAAAATACTCATTATGTTATCCCAAACTCACTTGAAGGCCCATCCACTCAACTGCGGTAGCTGATACCGAGCACACCGCAAAAGATTGTCATAGGTTGTGGCATCCAGCCGGAAAGCCACCGCTGGCTATCAACTTGTTTGTTCAGCATTAAGCAATGGACGAAAACTACTATAAGCTCCAGCTCTGGCTGGGACTTCTGAAACAGACGACCTGACCTTACTTATGAGTTATCTCGTGGCTACGTACATGACTCCTAGAAAGCCATTTTAAGCTTGAGCTTGTCCTCTTCGATAATGGCCGATTTCATCTGTAATAGCTCTTCCATGTCCCATGGACAGCTGATGTATCGCCCTGCCAGCCAAGCGTGACGTCCAGCAACCAACCATACGATAGTGTCACCTGCAATTTCCGGTTTATCTGGTAGAGAGTTTCGTAGATGTTCTGGCAGACCACCTTTAGTGATCTCGGTCTTGATAGCTCCTGGATTGATAGAGAAAGCCAGCAGCCCCTGGTCAGCGTAATCAAGCTGAATTGACTCTGTCCAGCGTGTAACTGCAAGCTTGGAGGATCGGTATCCCGTGCTCGCTGGGCGGGCACTGAGCGCGCCAGAAGACGAAACATTGACCATTGTGCAGAGGCCGTCCCCAGATTCGCGGGCTGAAAGCATCATGGGCAGAAAGGCGCGAGCCATGTTGAAGAGGCCGCCGAGGTTGACTTGCCAAGTGCGCCAGTAAACATCCGGATCCGCATCGAGAAATCGCTCGTATGGCTCCATATGCGCGGCGTTGTTGACAAGCACATCAAGGCGCCCGCTAAAGGCAGCGACCACCTTGTCGTAAGCGGCTCTGACGCTGGTCGCATCGGCAATGTCCGTGGTGCAGCTGATCACAATCGGTTGGTCTCGTCCTGCTTCTTTCGCAACCTGTTTGAGGTCTGCGACAAGGTTGTCAGATACACCATGCAGGTCAACGACGGCGATTCCTGCAACACCCGCCCTGGCGAATGCTTTTGCAGTGGCGAAGCCGACACCTGTGTCCCAAGCTGCGCCTGTGACCACAGCGTATCTGCCTGATAAGTCCAGCTTCAGTGGAGAGATCAGGTCATATGATGTAGAGTGCCGCGTACGGGTAAAGTCGCGGGGCGCGCTATGGGGTTGGGCTGTCATACTTGGTCGGTTTCTCTAGTCGACTCCAAGGATGGATGATCTGCAAAAAGTTGCAGTACGTGTTTAATTGACAATGTGCTTGGCATTAACCGCGGAAACAGATCTTGAAAGTAACAGCCAGTTCAGAATGCGAATGTCTACTTTATTATACGTTCTTGCGGGCCGGATCTTTTTCGTCCGTCTCGAGCTTTGTAACATCACATCCGGGCGTGTTCTCGGGCCGCCCTTGACGGTTCAAAGCGGGGTTGCAAAGTTTTGGATCACTAATCCGCCGTCGATCGATGTTGCGATGACAATAACATTTTGAGTTTTGTTAAGCGCATGTTTGTCGGGTGACCAACACGAGGAGCTGCGAGCTTGATTGTCGGACGGCTGTCGCATTGTAATCGACTACTGAGTTCCTTAGAGCATTTTTGGCATCTGGGATTGGACATTGTGAATCGCTGCACAGCACTCCACCTTTTAGGTTTGCTATATACACATAATGTAACCCTCATGAAGAAAACGTCAGTCCCGAGCTTTCGCCCACAACGCACCCATAGCCATCGCAGATCAAACACACAATGAGAAACATGCTCCATCTCAGCCCATAATCTTTTGTACTGGTGCGATCAATTCCTTCGATGACGCCGTTCTTGCTACTCTGAGCACGCCCGTCATCTGTGGGCCTTGCGTCGCGCCAACAGGGCTAATGCTACCTCTTAAAGATTGCGTCAAAGAAGCTCTATGTAGGGGCGTTGGCAACTCTTAGACAGCTCCAATATTTCTTGATATGTCATAACATTGTGAAAAATATCATCGTGGGATTTGACGCTGCCTGAGCGGCAATTCTGGCCCAAGGCTTGGGGGCCAAGCCTCGACAGGTTGCAATCTTCGAAAAATCTCCGATTTCAGCACGTCAAACTCGGTGGACCAGCTCTTCAAAAACGACCGAGTCTTTCTGCGCGCGGGTTGATACCATTGAGGATGATGTTTCAACCATGAATGGAAACTCTAGGCTGACGAGGCCTGGCCGTCGCAGATGGCAGAACCTGGTGTCGTCAACGTTTGCCTCCTCTCGACCGTGAACAGCGTCTGATTCAGGCCATTAAGAGCCATATGTAGGGCGGCGGGGCATAATTCCAAGGCGTCGAATCAGTTTAGATGAGTCGCCAAGAAAAGGCCAGAGCACCCGGAGGCTTTCGATACGGTGGTGCTTAGAAACTCAACAGTCCTCCACACTCGCGTCTGATCTCCAATGGCTTGAGTGCTTTGGCACAGCAATGCCACGGTATGATTGGAAATCAATATGCCGTGGCCGTCGATTTAGTCTCTGGATCGACGGCATAGGACAGCATCGCCTCGGCGTCATATCGGAAGCCTACAGTGGCCTGAATGACTCTGACCAGGATATTGCGTACTTAAAAGTAGATAGTCTCCCTGGTCTTATCTCGTGGTTTCAGGCACATTTTAAGTAGTCAAAAGACACAGAAAGAATATTACAGACCTTTCAAAGAAAATTGATCAACGACATCAACAATAATGGCATCCTTCGAAAGCGTCCTGTTGATCGGAGTAAGCTTTCTCTCCCCCACTACAACCGCAATCTAGCGCCGTCTTGCTCAATGAGATGAGAACCAGCTGACGTCCTTCTCAGGCTGGTGGCAATCTTGGTGTGCCAGTGCTGCAGGCATTCCTTGATGCTGAACGTTACAAAGTCAGCATCTTGACCCGTAAGGGATCTAACTCGGTCTTTCCTGAGGGCGTTAAGGTTTACAAGGCAGATTACGCCGATATGGAGGAACTGAAGCGCGCCATGGAGGGCCAAGACGTCGTCATCAGTATGATTACCGGACTCGCAGGGGGCGCTCAAAACATTCTGGTCGATGCTGCCATCGCGGCGGGTGTCAAGAGATTCCTGCCGAGCGAGTTCGGCCCCCCGTCGCGGGATGCTGCGTTTGCGGCATTGAACCACGTCGTCCTGCCTCTGAAGACCGCTACCGTTGATTATCTCAAGACAAAGGAATCACAGATCTCGTGGACGAGCATCGTCACCGGTGCTTTCTTCGACTGGGCCCTCGATATTGGCTTCATAGGGTTCAACATTTCGACAAAGACGGCTGGTCTCATTGACGGTGGAACTGCCGTCTTCACATCCTCGACTCTCCCGTATATCTCCAAAGCGATTATCGCATCCCTTGAACGCCCAAATGAGACTAAGAATCAGTACGTCTTCGTTGGTGAATTCAACGTCTCTCAGCAGGACATTTTGAAGACGCTCGAGGAAGTTCAGGGCGAGAAGTGGAGCGTCGAGCACCTTGTATCGGACGATATGATTGTCTCAGCCGAGAGGAGAATCGCGGAAGGCGATCTTACGGCTATGGTAGATATCACACGTGCTGGCGCAATGGGTAAGAGGGGTCTGGGAGACAACAGGCCTTGGGGACTTTGGGATGAGAAATTGGGCCTGACGCGTCAGAGTCTGGAGCAGGCCGTCAGAGAATCAGTCGCCCGCACGGCAGAGTAGGGTTCAGGGCTTCTTGTAATACTCACAGCAATCGCTGGTCCCGATGCATTGGACACAGTAGAAGACTAGCTGCCCCCCCATTTCTTCCAATGACTTCTGCACTCGCAGGGTGGTTTGCGCTCTCTGACCAAAGGCCAGTTGATTACATGTTCCAACAGCATGTACAATATGGGGTTTGCATTAACTATCTACATGGTATCAATGTCTCTTCCCAAACTCCGTGGCAAGCGGTAAGGCCAGACCCGGCCTGAGCAGCTATGGTAGTGATGGGAATATCGTGTGCATCCTCCGAAGCGGCTACTCAGTGATGTTTGCTGCTTGATATCAAGAGTGTGTGTAGCTCGAGCCGAATGTGCAACCCCTTGCAGGCTTGTATGTCACAGAATGTCAAGGTTCCTAAAGATAGCAACGAACAATGGTTCGGCAGTGCTATGGTTATGGCAGACAGTGCTGAGGGACTCCTGTAAGCAATAGTCTCGAGGCAAAGATACTCTATTGAAGAGTAGTGGGCCAGGCTACCTTGGCAGGGAAGCAATGTCACTTCATAGTGACATCACTGCTGGGCCGATTCAGTACGTGGTCTTGAAAGTGTAGATTGTTACCTGGTCCTGTCACTGCATGTATCTCTCAAGGTAGCTATGAAAACTTTTAATACCTCTCACTCGCGCCTCACAAGACTACAGGCCGTTCACACACAGTACTTTGCACTCATGGATATCGAAGAAAGCAAGCCCATTTTGCCAAAAAGAAAAGACGAAAAAATGCCCGAAGCATTCTGCGGCGTCGTCTTGAATCTCTTAAGCCAGGCGGCTCCCACTCCTGCCCGGGAAAAGTCGCGTTGGTCTTCACCTTGGCTTACCGAGTCTTGTGGAGAGTATTTTAGTTGTCTCCTTCAGTATTTGATGTGCTGTGAATATGTTGGCCAAGCTGAGGTACTAGTCCCACAGATCTGTCGTTGCGCCGTTCCCGGGATGATACGCCTCTA